GTTCAGCGATACCAGCATACCGGAAGAGGTTGAGAAGTGGAAAGCCAGTGTCGAAACAGCACTCACGTTTTTTGAAACAGTCAAGGACTGGAGTATTGCAGCTAAACGAAGTGGCGATGCAGTCACCCGCCTCTACGCCGCATACAAGACGAATGTATCGACACTATCCCATCAGAGTCAGACCGCTATGCCACACATTCCCCATCCCCAGCAATATCGACAACAGCAACCTCACCCGCATGCCCACACTCACTTCCCTGTCCCGGGCACGTCGGCCGCGCCGACGATGCTCAACACCCACCCAGTCGCTTACGGACAACATCCTTTCTCCGCATTCGGACATTACAACCCAGCAACACCTACCTGGGCCAACGCCGGGAACGATCCGACGATCTTGAACAACTTTTGGGATGATATGATGTGGGATACCAATTTACCGGATATGCTAGAGACGCCGTTTGGGCTTGGTGGGGACTATGAGTTTGCAAGTGCGGCACAGGACTCTGGGGCGCAGGGGGCCTGTTGGATGCATGGAAACTAAAGAGACCATCAGGGAGCGTTACATTAACACTCCTGTCGATCGTTTCAGTATTCAATGTTTGCCCAAGTCTGGACAGCACATACCGCATAGGCAGCATTCGAGACTATACCCTAGCGTAGGAACGCAGGTCCGCGTGTGCGCAGCACATATGCGCTGTCAGTCTTGATGAAGATGCGCCAAGACGACTTTGTGCGACTGACGATGCCGGAGCCGACCGGACGACGCATAGCCACCGGGATATTGCCTAGCAACTCGATCGCATATACGAGAGCTCCCAGAAAGAAGTAGCAATATGCAACAGCCGGCAGTGAAACCGAAGAAGCGGAACATTCAGCACAAGGGCTACCCTTTACCCCCTGGTTTCATATACACACACATGGCAGTTCAGGGTTCAGGCTGCTGTTCGGAGCAAAGGATGATTTACACGGATTATAGATAGATCAGCGGCTTCTAGCATTGTTCTCCCGAAGTCGCTTTATTTCTCGTTCTTGTCGATCTACCACATCTTTACACAGTTGCACGGATGGAAAGTAAGGCTGGCTGGCACGTCCAGGCCATGGAGGCGGATCCGCATGTAGATGTCCCCTTTTTCTTTTCTGCACTTTTGCTGCGCCTGTCTGCGTCGTTTCCGCATCCTTCACCCCTCTTCTATGTTGCATCACAGCCTTAGCCCTGCACTTTCTCTCTTTAACCTCGACTCTGCATCGCCTCCACATCACCCTTTCACCGTTTTGCAGATGTATGTACCGCATAGGTGGTTAGATTTTCTTCTATTCACTCGCTATTATAGACATGGGGTGCGCATTATTTGTACCCCAGATTCTGGTGATGGCTAAATAGGCATGAGGTTGATCGCATACCAGGGCCTGCATGCAACGTCGGAAGTAGTTAGACATAGACACGAATGCATACACCGTTTTCATCCGCTTAACACCGAAAGAGGATTCGTGCAATGGGCGTGATGGCTTAACAGAGGAGCTATATGCCTCTCTGCTGTTACTTGGTTATATTGTTACTAATCCACATTTCACTGAGTGAGGGTGTGTTTAGCCTAAGGGCGTCGTGCATGTGAACGTGGACCAGACTAGGACATGTCGAGTTTATGGTCGCGTACGTAGAGGAGAAGTGAAAGTAGGAGTGATCTTGCGGCTACATCCAATGCTGTGTGCTCAAAAAAAGGAGGGAAAGAAGGCGCACGTCTACAGTATCTAGGTATCATCACACGACACCAAGAATTCAAAGTACAATAACACAAACGCGCTACTGTTTCTGTCTGCACACTACAGATACGATGTACCAAGCGCACAGCGGGGAACGAGTCCATCTTGGCTGCTTGTCCTGCAACATCAAATGCTTAACCGACATGTGTTGTCATCGGTGAGTATGCGCGGATTTTTGTCCAAGGTGACGTTTGAATTGTGGTATGATATGTGCAGGGTTTGCAATCCATCCTGAAGGAATCTGGATAGATGTGACGCACGTGGTTCTGGGCGATGTGGGACATGGCAGGCGAGGCGAAACGGGCTGCGGGGGTGCCGATGACGGAATGTTGCGCGGATCTTAACGATTAGCCGCCTAGGAGAGTATCTGTTTGGTACTGCACAGTGCATTGGAAACAAGTGACATGTGACAGATGGATGCGGGGTGCAGATTTTGGATTGAATACACCTAGTGGTCCTGTTTGTACACGCACGACTAGACGAGAGCGAATTCACGTAAAAGGGGTCGTGACGATGAACGAAGTTGCACCTAACCTTCCCGCCACCACCGCGCACGTCTCACCCACGTGCACGTTGGCCCACCAGTTGTCGATCGCAGCCATGGAGCTTGGCTATCTATCCTCGGACCTACTTCACCGCCGCCACCTTGGTCATGTATGTGAAAGGAGCGCGATAATCGCATCTCCAGCTTTCGTTTCTCCCCATCGACAAGCGGATTGATATCCCATCGCAACAATGTCAGAGCCCGATCTCCACCGCGCCATATCCATGAAGCCCCACCCATTCCATACACATCCCGACCGCATAGAACGCACATCAAGTCCCCACGTCCACGTGAATGCCAGCAGTAGTGGCAGCAGCGCGCAACACCATGCAGATAGCTCAACCCGCAAAAACGATGCTAGCAGCACCGCTATCGAAACAGCGGCTCCTACGACCGACCACGACCCCATAGCCCGCCACGTCTCTGCGCGTCACAGCAGCTTCCACGAAGACATTGAATCGCAATCGCCGCCCTCGTATACCCCCGACAATGACCCGTACTCGCTGTCCTCTGCGATAAAGCCCGAGTCGGAATTGGCCTTGATCCGCGCCAACACGTCGCGAAAGCGCGATGGCTGCGGTCCCATCACCCTCAACAAGAAGGCTACCTCGGCGAAGAAGTTGGAAGAGTTCTACTCGGCGCAGAACGAGAACATTGAGAGATTGCTCAAGCCAGTGGCTGAACATCGGGCTGCCGCAAAAGATGAAGATACAGCCAACCACCTCAAGTACAAAATCGCTGTCATTGGTTCCTTTGCCGCAAACATCATTCTAGCCGTCCTACAGCTCTACGCCGCCGTATCTTCTCGCTCGCTGTCGCTGTTTACGACAATGGCCGATTCGCTCTTCGATCCCCTTTCCAACCTCACGCTTATAATGTGCAACCGCGCCGTGGCACGTGTTGATGCTAGGAAGTTCCCTTCAGGAAAAGCAAGAATTGAGACTGCCGGAAACCTCTGTTTCTGTGCGCTCATGATTACGGTTTCTGTGGTCATCATTGTCGAATCTATCCGTACGGTTGCCGAACACTCCGGACCCGAAACCAACGACTTCTTTCTACCCAGTGTCATCGCCGTCAGCATTGCTTTTGCGACCAAGTTCTCGCTGTTCTTGTATTGTTGGGCCTTGAGGAACAAGTACAGTCAAGTCAGGATTCTGTGGGAAGACCACCGTAACGACCTGTTCATCAACGGGTTCGGTGTGTTGACGTCTGTCGGTGGATCCAAGTTGAAGTGGTGGTTGGATCCCATGGGTGCGATGATACTATCCGTCTTGATCATCTTCCTGTGGTCGAGAACCGCGTACTCGGAATTTCAGCTTCTCATCGGCGTTACAGCTGATACGGCCATGTTGCAGCACATCACCTACATCTGTAAGTCTCTTCTCATTACATCTACTTGGGCTGTGCGCTAACGCTTGCTTTCCAGCGATGACACACTCCCCCACCATCCTCCAAATAGACACTGTGCGTGCCTACCACTCCGGTCCCCGCCTCATTGTCGAAGTAGACATCGTCATGGACCCAGAAGCTACATTGAGAGCTACACATGACGTAGCTGAGGAACTTCAGATAAAACTGGAGAGTCTTCCTGATGTAGAGAGGGCGTATGTTCATGTGGACTATGAGACGGACCATCGACCTGAGCACTTTTTGAAGAAGGAGTTGTGAAGGTATGGGTGAGGAAATGGGGAGGTAGTGCGTGGAAGAACAGCGGGAAGAGTGAATTGAAGTGTGTAAGGGCATAAGAGAATGGTCTCAACTTGTATATAGTTGTTATCAGTTCTTCGATATGAAGAAGATGTGGGAATTTTCCTACGCTTCTACCGACTATCGCTATTAGGATATATGCTACTACTCGTAAAGTCGTCTCATGTCCATATGCTATCCTCGTTCTCTGAATTGCATTGTTCGTTTCTAGAATGTGATTGTAAACCATCATGTCGAATGTTACTCGCGCCGATGAGATCAGTCTGATTTTTCTTGGGGAAACACACTGCGCATATATCGTTATGGATTCAAAAGACGTTCTCAACGTTTCAAGGTTGAGCACTTTCAAGATCATGTGATTATCGAAATTGCCGACGCTTACTCTCTTGGTGACAAAGGCATGATTACTTTTACTATGATACTTGTCATGTGAGAGCCCCCTCTTTCATGTAGAGCAAGCATATCTCGAAAGTCGTGGGTGACTCGTCGATTATGGGCCATGGTAGTTCCGTGGGCCGACGTAGATAGCAGCGGATGTATAGATGATCACTGGGTCGCGTACGCCACGTGACTGGCAAGCAGTGGTACATTCCAAAGACGCGTCTCGGTTGAACATATCTCCAGCAGGCCTTGAAATAACTAGTGGTTATCATGACAATGTTACACAGTTCATCAGTTGAATCGATGGTAGAGCCCAAGTAAGCGTAATTACGTGCTGCGCAACTCCCCCTTCACCAAATGCGCAGTGACCACTCATCTAAGTCACTGTCTGTTGCTCTTCACTAGCGAGTCTTCTCGTGATTGTTCGCTTCCGTGCCGTTTTATCGGTCACCTTGGCTTGTTGTTTGGCTCGTCCAGTCGTGCCTGCCTTGCACCCACAATTCACGGTGCTGGTCACCCAACCTACTACGAGCGACTGACATAACTCTGGCCCAGCACCTGCCTCGTAACACAGTCACCCCCAGGAATTTCGCGTTATACAGGCGCGATGCCACCGTCTATTGTGCAACAATTTGGCAACATGCTCTCCTCCCGCTGGCGGCTTAAAAAAGATGCATCGCCGTCACTCAAGCAAAAACCCTTACACGAAGTTGCCAGGTACCCTCAAGTCATCGATATTACCCCAGAGAACAACTCGTGTCTCAACCCATCGATGTCCTACGAGCACATACTGGAATGCAGACACATCATCGTAACAGCGAGGCCCGACGAGCCATGCGCACCCAACTGCTATCATATTGCCAGCAACAACTCATCGAAGGACAAGGGAGCACTGAAAAGAAGCAATGTTCTGAACTTCTACTGCGACGCCTGCATGGAGACAGGGAGCGAGGCGCTCATGTCCAATGACGTTTCCTCGCTAGAGGCTGGCAAGTGCACCAATAGTGGCGCACAGCAGCGATACTGACTGAGTGATAGAGGTCATACGGCTTGGAATGCGTCATGGAAAGGCCGAGCTATGCGGAAAGGAGGCAAAGTTTCGTAAATGCTAGATCGCGCTCAAGATTACCTCATTGCCCTGCAATAGTGACGGTACAGTGGAAGGACAATACACACCAAGGGCGAATCATCACCCTTTCGATACCACGATCCCTCGAGTAGGCGACAACTTCTTCGAAGACGTGCTCACCAACCCGGTGGAGGAGCTCAATCCGACCAGCGATAGTGGCGCGAGTGCATCCGCATCCACATTCGAAGACGGCACTGATGTTGACAGCAGCCCTGCGCATCTTGGAGAAGGTGGCTCAAACTACCTCCGGTATACCCGATCCACCACACATAACAAAGGAAAAGCAGCAGCACAGGAGGCTGAGCCAATTCTGAACACGGCCAGTAAGACTCCATCGCGTCACGCTGGCAAGAACCCTCCCATCGCACGGAGCGCCGACACAGCCTTGCCTGTCCCTGCACAGTGGAAGCGGAAACGGCCCATAGTCACTGATGAAGACGATGACTACGTGGATACTCTGGAGGAAGAGACAGTGGTTTTCAAAAGACCGGCGAAACGACACACGAAATCTACTATCGCAACATCAACGGTACCGGCTGCGAAGACCAAGCCTGGGCGTCCTATGAAATCTGCGATCAATACGCCTTCAAAGCCAGCTACGAAGCGGAAAACTAGGAGGCTAACGAAGAAGCGTTCATAGGCAGACGTGTTTAAATCTACGTGTGTCGGAAGAGAAAGCCTGCGCAATTGAAGAAGAGATGGTCAGGAGTGATGTCTGGATACTACTGGATTGGGCGGCGGTCGCTCTACGAAACGCAGATTAGATGTTCTAGAAGCGAATCGAGATCCTGATGTGAAGAACAGAAGGCGCTGCGTGCCGAGATTAACGGCGAGCAATCGTCGTCAAAGAGTTGCAGGTCAGCCGTTGGCACAGGCCTCATGAGCACCGAAAACTGTAAGAAACGTCCTGTTGAAGTGCTGGATATATGTCTTCTTTCTTCAAGGCCGAATGCGTCAACGACAAATCGAAGGATCCAATATTTTTGACCTGGTATATGCATGCTCCCCGCGCGTAGTGATATAGGTGCAGCCGGCATGTGGGGCATCTGACCACATCTTTAAGTACGCCCCGTCGTACTGAATGCAGCCACATTTACTGGCACGTTCCAGTATCGCATACATCAGCTTCTGCAGCAGAAACGCACCTGTTTCATTATCGAGGATACCATTGAAATATTCGCAATAGAACTTGCTGTGCAGGAAGTTCTGTCCTCTGTCCGGCAATCAGCAGAGCGTGCTACAATGTCTCAATTCGAGCTTCGCGCTGCAGGTATTTTGGATCTGTATGCAATAGCGACAGTATGGACAGCCGCGTTCTTTGACGACGAGATCATCGGAGAGATCATGCATCCGCACCGCAAAGACTATCCTGATGACGTTTATTGGTTCTTACTGCGCGGGATTCGAGAACGATTCTGGGACTGGCGCCATCAATTCATAGTCGTAACAGATAATGGAAAGGTGGTTGGGGCAGCAGATTGGAGGAGGCTTGGGAAAGGCGGAGAGAGCAAAGAGTTGAGCGTACTAGATCCACGTATGTTCACCGCGAAACTTCTCATGACAGATGAGTCTGGCTCCCGACTCACATCAACATTCTTACAGGCAACCTCATCGCGCCCGTCTTGGAGACCTACCACTCCATATCCCTAACGTTGTTCCCGAATCGTGCCGCCGACCCTACACGCGCCTCGTTCCTCGATACCGCTGTCGCAAACTCAGAGAAGTACTGGACTGGCCAGCGGACCGAATGCTGGGACTTGCATGTTTGTGGTGTACATCCAGACTACCAAGGTAAAGGTGTTGGGAAGCTGCTGGCCCGATGGGGAGTTCTAGAAGCGCAGAAAGAAGGCGAAGATGTCGTAGCTAGTGTGTTGTGTGGGGAGAAGAACAGAGGCTTCTATGGCAAGGCTGGGATGAATGTGCAGGTTAGCGAAACGAAAGGTAAAGGGGGAGGAATTGCTTTGTTCACAAGATAAACTGCACTGCCCTCGAAGCGGCGTCATATACAGTCCGTGCGCACCCAACGAGCCAGTTCAGTCAACGAGCCACCCGAAGCCCCGCAACCTCATGAACTATCCCAACTGCAACGCGTCATAACTCCACAACCATGGACCCGATTCAAGAAGCAATTAAATATATCAAATCGCGTGAGGCTGGAGATAATTTCTCGTACCAGAAAGTCGCAAAAATATTCAGAGTTGATCGAACGACGTTGTCGCGGAGGCACCAGGGCACACAACAACCCCGGGGCACAGAGGCAGCCGAACATCGACGAAATCTCAACCCACAACAAGAGGATGAGCTTATTAGCTTCGTAGAAGGGCAAACAAGAGACGGAGTACCACCTACAAGGTCTATTTTAAAAAATTTCGGCAGCGCGGTTGCGCAGCATGAGGTTTCAGATAGCTAGGTTACCCGGTTTCAACACCGTCATCCCGATGAGCTCATCTCCAAATGGGACACCGGTATAGATCGTGAGCGTCACTTTGCTGACAACAAGCGTAAATACGAGTTGTATTTCAACTTGCTGCACTCCAAGATGCGAGAACATGAGATTAAAGAGCGCAACACGTACAATATGGATGAGAAGGGCTTCTTTGTCGGCATCGCCCACCGCAGGAAGAGGATCTTCTCTAAAGCAGTTTATAAGTCGGGAGAGCGTACCGCGGCGATGAGGGATGGCAACAGAGAATGGGTAACGCTGCTGGCTTGCGTATGCGCTTCTGGAGAGGCATTGCCGCCCGCTCTTATCTATCAGGGCATCTCCGGGGTTCAATCAAGCTAGGTTAACGACCTGTTGGCCGAACAACACCAAATCTTTGTATCCCACTCGGCTTCGGGATGGTCAAATAATAATTTGGGACTTGCCTGGCTTCAACAGGTCTTCGAACGCTTCACGGCAGCTAAAGCTCGCCGACAATGGCGCCTTCTGATCCTTGACGGCCACGCCAGCCACCTCACGCCGGATTTTTTGGAGTATTGTGAAGCTAAACGCATTATGGTTATGGTGTACCCACCACATTCTACACACAGTTTGCAGCCGTTAGATGTTGTGCTCTTTTCGCCACTCTCAAAACACTACACCGAGGAGCTTACCCAACGCCTCCAGCGTACCCAGGGCATCTCGAGGATCACCAAACGCGACTTCTACAGCAACTTTTAGCCGGCTTGGAGCTCTACAATAACTCACGATCTTATATTGAAGAGTTTTCAAGCTACAGGCGTATGGCCGATGGACGCTGACCCGGTACTTCAACGCTTCAACAACCAACCACAACAACAAGATGACGAGCCAAGAATAGGGGAGCAAGGCGACGGCGATACCTGGCCTCAACTGCGCAAAATTTTTGAAGCTGCGGTGGCTGACAAGGCCAAATTTAAAGCCAAACGGCTGTCCCAAGGCCTACACTCGCTGCAGGTCAACAACGAGCTTCTCCGCCTCCAAAACGCGGAGCTTCGCGCTGAACTTAACCTCATGAGATCCCGACCGTCTAAATCAACAACACTAACTACTCAAGAGGGCGACGATTGGCACGGCGGAGCTGTATTCTACAGTCCCAGGAAGCTTGCCAGTCTCCGCGCGCGCAAGGCCGCAGAACTGGACGAAGCCGCGGAGCAACAACTCCAAAAAACTCGCGATAGAGAGAGAAAAGCGGCAGAAGCAGCTGAGAAAAAGCGCTCTCAAGAAGCTGCAAAGGTGGCTCGACAACAAGCTAAAATTGCTAAGGATGCGGAGCAGTTACGGCAGCGTAAGGAGAAAGCTGCCGCACGGGAACTTAAAAAGCTGCAACAACAAGCTGCAACACTAAAAAAAACTCACGATACAGCAAATAAGCGTAAGCGAGAAGCCTCAGCTAAGCCAGTAAAGAAACCAACAAAGCGTCGTCGTGTTGTTGCTCCATCAAGTCAGGTGGTTGATGGTCCGCCTCGGGCGCCCTCCCCACCTAAATTTGGCCTGCACACCCGCCAAATCAAGACGCCAGCGAGATACAAGTAGTGCAAACGCTTTAGTAGCGTCTATATATCAATACACCAAAAAATCTCACGATAATAGCTTTTGTGGGTGGCTTAATAACCTCATCTTTTTTGTCGTCCGATCTTGGTGGGGTGGCTCGTTGACTGAACTGGCTCGTTGGGTGCGCACGGACTGTATCGACCAATGAGCGTCCAAGGGGTTGATGCCTTCTGTGCCGATGACGCCGTTTACATGCCGTACTTCCACACCCACGCGTGTCCATAATCACACTCGCATCTCGAACCTATTTTGACAGAAACCTTTAGGTCGACTGACCCCAGCGCATTCGCGCATTGCTTGTGAGAATGAAAGACCGAAAATGCCGGCCGCATAGACCGAGCGCTCTCTTGACAGCCTTATATAGCTGTTGCTACGCGCCCTAGATGACGGCGAACAGCTACACCCCTACATAAAGTGCCCGTTACTGTCGACGCAAGATGCTTGACATTCGTTTCGTCATCACTTTCGCTGCAGGTATTCTGCTCCATACTACAGTCTTCTCCAGACATTTCGAATGGGATCGACACGCACCCAACATCTTGACGTTCGCCTGTGCTACTTTCACAACTACGTTGGTAATAATCGCCATCAGTGGGGATGTCTCCATCAAATTGTCGGTCGCATTTACCAGCGCGGTCGCTGCATGCTTTCTCGGTGGCTTCCTCTGTTCTATGATCATCTATCGATTGTTCTTACATCCTGTCAAATCATTCCCTGGACCAACAGCTGCTCGCGTAACTAGTCTCTGGGTCATCAAGCAAAACGTACCAGACCTGAAATTGTACATCAAGCTACGCAGTCTCCATGACCAATACGGAGACTTCGTGCGGATACGTAAGTCAAGACTACAGCCGTATGAATGTGCGACTAATTCCCTCTAGGACCACGCGAACTCTCAATCTGCCATCCCGATGCCATAAAGGACGTTCATGGCCCCAGAAACAACATCAAGAAAGGCGAATTTTACGATCAAACTTACCCATCCCACACCTTGCAATTCATTCGAAACCCAGATCTTCACAAACAGCAACGTCGGTATTGGGACAAGGCTTTCCATAGCACCGGTTAGTGAAGATGAATTGTTGGTATCATCCTAGCTAATGTTCTTAGCATTACAAGGCTATACGCCACGTCTCACGAGGCACTATCGCCTCATGGTCGATATGCTTTCTCGTCATGCGGCTTTCGGCACGCCGATAGATGCTAGTGGTGCTTTCTTAGACCTCTTCTTCGACGTCATATCAGATCTAACGTTTGGTAAATCGTTTGAGACGCAAACTAGGAATCAGCGAGGCCCGATCGTGACAGGATTCCTCAGGAAGCAAAAAGCGGTTGGTTTCGCATTGCTCAGTATGCCACTGCTTCATATCGCCAGGAACCTACGCATTTCACTGAAAAAGCAGAAGTCTTGGGAAGGCTGGTACGATGAAGCTTTGCAAGCGCGCAGCAAGGTAAGTCATCTAGGCGCTATATCTTTCAAACTAGATCTGCTCACACGCGCAGATGCATATCCATGAGCCGGACATATACACATACTTATCGCAATCCGATGGATTTAAGAATAACACGTTGAGTGAGGCGAAGTTGGCCATCGTTGCTGGTGCTGATACGAACGCCATCACAATGTCCAATGTTTGCTATCTGCTGTGTCAGCACCCTGGATATCAAGCAGAGCTTTACAAGGAGTTGTCAAATTTGCGGAGCTTAGACGGAGTCATCGATGACCGCGACCTGTTAAACAAGCCTTATCTGACTGGCATTATCAACGAATCGTTGAGGTTGCATCCGCCTGTACCCTCTGGCCTTCAGCGAGTGACGCCTGCAGAAGGTGCGATTATCGCAGGTCGTTACATACCAGGCCACATGAACGTAACGACACCAACGTACGCTCTGCATCGAGGTATTGGCATCTCCCGCATGGCACAACTTCCACTGATCTTATAGATCCACGCGCGTTTGTCCAGCCCAACGACTTTATACCCGAACGCTGGTCCTCTCAGCCTAACCTCATCCTTCGTAGAGACGCGTTCGTGCCCTTTGGATTTGGAGGATACAACTGCGCAGGGAAGCCATTGGCCATGATGCAGCTTCGTATGGTCGTTGCCATGATCTTTAGAAGATTCACGGTGTCGTCCGCAACTAATAAGGAGGGCTCATGCCAGTACTTCATTGACCATCAAGCCGACTGTTTCACGCTACACCTCGAACCGCTTCCTCTACTTTTCAGAGAAAGACATGCCATCTCAAAGGTACAGAATCAGCCCAGCCCATAACGTACTTCAGTTTCTTGTCGAAAAATGTCACAATACACCCATGGTTGTGGTAATCTATCGTTATGAGCAGTCAAGCTTTGGTGCATGAATCTTTCACTTATACTAAGAATGAACTTTTAGAATTAATTGTTAGAGATCAATATTCTAGCTTCCGTAGAAGGAGCCTGTAGGTGCTGAAGTAGCGACTATTTACACAGTGACAGCGACAACCTTTCCACCCTCGGTGTAAGTACCATTCACAGGGGCGGCTTGACCTCCTGATGTTACAACATAAACAACGCTTTGATCCTTCCAAGTTCTTCCAAAAGCAGCCGCAGTCGCACCAGCAACCACCGTTGTGTTCAGTCCTCCAGCAATCAAGCTTCGAGTCCCATCTACATCTACTCGTTCCAATGAGTTTCCGCCATTTTCCGCGATGAAAGCGACACCGTCCGCAGACATGACGAAATCATCCCCAGGCAAATCGGTTTGGAGGGTTTCATATGGTCCGACCGCCTCACCAGTCGATGTGTTGATTTCAACACGGCAGAAGAATCCTTTCAACGCGTTGATGTAGTAAAGATACCCATTGAAAATCTTGATCCCGTTGATGCCCAACACGAGGAGCGTACCCTCCGCCGGCTTCATCGTCTCATCCTCGAGTACAACATCGTACTTGCCCGTCCAGACATTCAATCGCCAAACGAGTCCCAGAACAGAGTCTGAAATCAGGACGGTACCTTGCTCGCGATCCAACGTCGTCATTCCGTTCAAGAAACTGGCTTCGGGGAGCGCCTCGATCTCGGAGACCTTTTCGCATTTGGCCAAATCACCACGGTTAAAGTCGATTTGCCATACCGAGTAACTCGCTGCGTCTGATCCTGCTCGTGCGACGGAGAAGTTGCCTGCGATGAATACGAAGACGTCAGGGCTCATCTCTGTGATTCCTAGTAGACTGGTCGTGTTCGTTTCATCTTCGAGGTTCGTGATCAGAGTTGGAGTGTTGTTGCGGAAAGGGTTGATTTCGTAGAGGGAGGGGCGGTCGATTAGTGTAACGAGCAGGTTTCCGTTTGAGCGGACGGCGATATTCTCTAACCATGTGCCATTGTCGAACTGATATACCGATCGAACGGAAGCCTGGGAGCTGGCCGGTAGAGCTGCTGCTGCTACAAGAGGAGCTCGTAAGATCGAGATGGCGAGAAAAGTGATCAGGGTGCTGAGATGAAACATGTTGGATGGATGTTAAACTGTTCTGGATATGCAATGTCATTCTTTCGTGCAGCATTTATACGCTGCGTAAAGGGTGCCATCATCAGTCGCACAGCTCATTTTGCTTGCTAAGCGTCGTCTGCTTGGAAATTGGGTGAAGAGTATGCTCGGCATTCGTTAGCACATAACGTCGGTCTGGGGCTTTGTAAGCTTATACAGATCTACGTCCCGAGGTTTTGCCCAGGGTAGCATGTTTTGATAAAATGAGAATATGTCAACAACTGTGAACAGAAATCTGGTGCATCCAGAGAGCTACACGAGGATGGATTTATGTACAACTCTTCATTTGTTGACTTGAAACATTCCTCGATCACATCTGGCGTTGGCTTCCATAGCCGTGTATCGTACAACTCAAATGGCAAATCGTATCTGACCGACCTTACAGTAAGTCGACAAAACTAATCATTGCCTCGGCGATGATTAGATATACCATCCCGTGATCTGAGCTTGTGAGTATGCTGTATTTAGTAATAGCAATGCGCGTTGTTCGTAGTACCGCGACTACGCATGGTGCGAGCCATGTTTTGTTCAGTAGACTTTTTAAAGTCGGGCCGCTCTTCATGATGCAACTGTTAGCATTGGCTTGGCGAAGTGAGATACTCTTATGAGACTAGCTCGGAAGGCCAAGATTTAGGCTCATTGTGCCTTATCCAATGAAATGCGATACGATCGGCCCGCAATTAAGTGTCTTGGAGAACAAGGTCACGATTTGGCCGCGAAGATGGGCTTGACAATAGAAAGAAACATTAGTCTGTTCTTACTCTACAACGCAACGTCGTTCGTTGTTGACAACCTCGCTCATTTTGATGTTCGCAAGTACAACTGTCCAACTCCCCATCTCCCAGCGAACATTCCAACCACCCTCTTAAACCCTTCCACCTCCTTCTCCTCCACACCATCACCATCTGCGTAGAATTCTCTCGTTTTCAAAACTGCCACTCCCGCTCTGACAACACAACACAACCCTGCAAAAGGTAGTCTTCCCACTTCACCTACCCCTTCTTCCCCACTTTCCCCTTCTCCGTTGATCTTCTGGATCCCTACCTTCACCATATCCCACGCCATATGTCTCGCATATTTGAGCGCCAAATGTACCTTCTCATACTCTGGATGTGGACGTCCTGCTAGCACCGGCAAGGTAGATGACAGATGCCGCATCTGTGCTTCTTGGAGTAGAATGTTTGTGCAGAAGGCCAGGGCAATGGCGTCGCAGTGCAGCCAAGTATGCGGTTCGGGCTTCGAGACTAGGGCTTGAATACAGGTTGTTAGACTTGATGTGGCTGTATCGTAGGCGTGGTTGGGTTGTGGTGGGGGGTTGAGAACGAGAGACGAGATATACTCCAAAGCTGGGCTTGTAGCCAGAGCGACGGTGGATCGGATGTGTAGTTTCCGCGCAGACGTTGCTGATGCTAATCCAAGTGGCGGGTGCGGTGGTATCTCAGGAGCCAGATTGTACGAGATACATTGAGTGGTTGTGTGATAAGAGGGCAGAGCCAGAGGAAGGTGCGTAGGTGATGTCAGAGTTAGGACGCGGTCTAGCATGAGCAGACTTGGTTTTATCCATTCCAGTGTCCAAACTAGGTTTGCGCTTTTTGTGGCTGAATGTTGTAGGAGTTGGAGTATACCCACACTTGCTGACATGGTTTGGAAAGCTTGATTTGACATGCCGTGACTTGTTTCGTAGAGAGCAAGGAGCATGGATGCTTGGAGGATTGATATGTTGACATTGGTGCCGCTTTGGAAGATGGCAAGCGATTGTTTCAATGCGCGGTAAAGTTGGCAGCGGGTTATGTGCTCTGCATTGTCGCATGGTCGGCGGCTCATTAACCACAGACATAACAATAGGAATGGACGGTATGTTTCCTCGTGTGGTGGTTGCTCATACGAAGCATGATTTTGCCGATCTTTCAGAAAGTCTTCCGGGACGATAGGACACCATTGCTGGATAGACGGACCGAAATCTTCCAAAACGAGGGATATATCCACGTTGGCTTGATCCAGTATGTCGTATACTGTATCCGCTAGCATTGCCTTACTTCCGGAAGCATCCTTAGAGTCGGCAACTACTGTTACCGCATGCAGCAATGCCGTCGTACTCCGCGACGAAAGGTCGACATGAGTACATCCTTCGAAGCTTATAATTGATGGCTCTGAGTCCACGTCTCCGAGTCGTGGCGGCTCTTTGTATGGCGTGTAATCACATACTTTTCCTTTCCTGGCAGTATATTAGTCTAAAGCTACTAGACTCGGTTGTCAACAAAAGCATTCGCGAAAAAGAAAAGACTCACACAGCACATCTCTCGCACTGTGGCAGCGTCCGGTCGCATTTTTGTTTTCTTACCCGACAATACAGGCATACATTCGCCGCCTTTGCCGTTACAGGTATGAAGCCAGCTATCGCACTCATCTTGCATTCGAGCCCTCCAATCAGATCGTTCAGAAGATATGATGCGGAGAATTTAGTCGGGCACTGTAGTCGAAGGTGTTACTATAGCAAGTTAGCAAACAGCGGCCGATGCAGCAATAAAGACAATCAGTAAACATGGTCCTGGCGCTGACGTGTAGGTAAGCAGGGTTTAGCGAGTCGGCATCGGCATCTTGTACAGCGGCATTGTGACCTACAAATCTGGTTTGTCGCAGTGTCAAATAGATTGTTATGGTTTATTATTGCGTTATTGGGTATCTACATCGCTTCCCCACCTTCATTCTCCCACTTATCCAGCAACCAGTCCATCCCTGGGCTCCTCTACAATCTCACTCTTCCCATTCACATCATCCACAACCTTCTCCTCCACCCTACCCCCAGGCTCGAGCCCCACGGCTTTGACTTCATCTTCATCTTTCTTAGCCAACTTCTCTGCCTCTTGTTCTAGCCTCTTCTTCTCTTTCTTGCTAACCGTCATACTCCCCTTCTCCAATGCTTCCTTAGGCAGCGGTCTGACATACGGTTGACAGACCCAATATGGTCTTTTGACGCGAGCTACAGTTGCGAGGGAAGATTCGTACGGATCCAAGTTTTCTCCTGTGATCTCCTCCATCGTAGCGGGCTGTTCTGGCGCGGAAGCCGTCTCGTTGGCATGCTCCTCTTCATACTTCTGGATACCCTCTTTGACGGCTTTCTCTACAAGGCTCAGCACGTTTTCAAACGCGTCGATATCGCCTGTCCGTGATCGAGCGAGTGCGTCGCGCACATTATGATGTTGCGAGACGAGAGGACGTAGGAGATGAAAAAGATGTGCTTGCATAGCCGTGAGGTTGGGATTCGACGCCTCTTTCTTCTTTTCCGATTTAGACATTGGCTTTCTCTTTTTCTGTGGTGGGCCGTCTTGTTCATCTCCTGCTCTCTTGCCATTCTCCGCTGCGTTGTTGGTGTTTTCTTGTGGCAGCTCTTCGATATCTCCAGGCATCCAAAGTGGTTTCCGTTGTGGTGGTTCCTGGCCGAGGGCGTATTTGTGAATGATGTCCATGTATCGTCGCATCACAGCGTCCATCCTATATCCGCCTTTTCCGTCGCGCCCGCGCCAGTACTCTCGTCCTTCCTGACCAGGTGGAGGTGGTGCGGCGAATATGGTCGGATCGTAAAGGTTTCCTTCTGCGCTCATGACGCCATCTGCACCTGTCGCTTCCAGACATGTCGCAATGTCTTCGTGCTGGAGGATGTTTCCATTGGCGAATATAACAGTCTCTTTGGGAAGGTTCTCCCGTAGATGCCGAATCATCTTCCAATCTGCCAGTCCTGTGTTGTGGCCCTTCTGTTCTCTCCGTCGGCCGTGTACTGTGATGATACTTGCGCCGGCATCTAGTAGTGTTTTTGCGTATGCCAGAGTCTTCTCCGGTGTCTCAAGCACCCTCATCTTTGCTGTAACCGGAATTTCCAACTCCTCATGCAGCTTGCGTATCATCCTTGATATCAGGTCCCAGTCCTCTTGTAGAAAAGCGCCGTACTTGCCTCTCTTCGCAATACCTTGTGGACATCCCAGATTCAGGTCTACCGCATCGCAAAAAGGCGCAACATGTTTCGCAGCCCGCAAGAAATCTTCGGGGTCGTTTGAGCAGAACTGTACTGTAAGAGGTCTGTCAAATGCTGGGTTGCCATCTAGATGTCTATCTGAGTCGGGTAGTTGTGAGAGGTGATAGTAGTCGGTGGGTGACGGAATAGTCGATTTGAGAGGCTGAAAGTGAGCATCGCGGTAGTTGCTCTTTTCACCGAACATCTTGGAGTGGAACATCGGGGTATACGCTAGGAGGTTCTTCTGCTGAGACTCGGGAAGGAACGAGCGCGACAGTAATCGCCATGCCTGTAAAAGCCATTTCGTTAGCCATCATCCCAGGCCAGTTGTATTGAGTTGAAGAGACATACGAACTCTGACTGCTCGACCATAGGCGCGAGTACCAGCTTCGGACTCCCGATACTTTCATAGAATGCGCGTCCGTGAAGTTTTCTTCTCTTTCCGTTCTCCTGAACAGACACATCCCCGTGGCCTTGACCGTGTATAACCCCCGCCATCTCTCCGTTGGCCTGCATCGTCGTCTCGGTCGTGGTCATCGTGTTCGCAAAATACCGTCTCGGCAATCGGCTCGCTACCCTGGGGGCGATGGCGCCCCCAAACGCTTGGAGAAGAAGAGGACGTATGACGCCGAATCTCTCACGATGTGAAAGCACGAACGAGGTGAGGCCAGGTACGAACCGTGCGCAGTTGCGAGATGCGTCAAGGTAGCTTTGACTCGTGGTGTGCTTGTTCTGCGAAAAAACGCCATCCCGCACTCCACTCGGCACGAAATACTGACCAATCGGAGTGCAAGATATCTCCGTATCACACCATTGAGCGTTTGCTGAAACTTTGTCGTGGTACAACAAGACTCATCTTGTGTTATGGTGAGCTCAATCTTTCTTTTTCTCTTTACGTAGTTTGTCTACCATCAATCCTGCTTGTTTCTCAGCATGAACCATGGATTCAGCCTGCTCGTCAATACGTCTTGGGCACCCTCGTCTGCGCCCTTGCCCAAACTTGTTTGATGTCACCGACCATCTTCACACAAGTGTCCAAACTTGTCACTTTTGATCATAACAGACATTGCTTCCCAACGGCATGGTACCTAGACGCACCACCAAAGGTACCGTGCCCTTGCCTAACACTAGCCCTTGGCTTCGACCATACCTTTCCCGACATCACGCCATCAGGGTACCACATCACGACACCCGAGTCAAGCACATTATCCATATATCAAACAATCCGCATCTCCAAAGCTTGTCAAGGACACACAATCGGAATATACCAGTATAGATTCATCACAACATACAGCTACATGACCACCCGCAACACAAAATACGCCAGATGTTCCCAATCAAAAAGCCTCCATCCATCTCGCATCCTCATTGACTAGCATTAGTCGGATATCTCATCGGCCGTTATGACGTCTCCACAAAGGGAGAGAAAAAGAGAAGACTGTTCTCTATGGTGTAGGAGGTGAAGGAAAACGCTGAATCGCAAGAGAAGGACAAACACCACCTATCGTTGGAAAGGTCCCATGGTTGAAAAGCACGACAACGCCGATGATATGCAGTTTGGTTTATGCCGGATAATGCTTCGTAGAAGAAGCCAAGGAAAAAGGTGGAGTGAACCAGTGCACAAAGGCAATGCTGGCCAGTCTCCGGATATCATCAAAAGAAGGTACGCCGGGATCAGAAGACCATCCATCCGTCCAGGAGTCATGAAGATATGAAGGCGATGCGGAAGACGCCGATGTTGTTTAGAAGGTACTCCAGTTCCACGTGCCCTGGAAGCTCTGAGCTATGCTGCCAACGCGTGTGGTCTCAGGGCGCTTCGCCGCAACAGGAGCCTCGATGGCTTTTGCGGCTGGACTCGGCCCATTGCTACTGTCTGAGCTCTCGCTGTTGGTGCGGCTGGACCGAAGGTGCTCCCACTCGCGGAAGGAGCTGTGGCAACGGTCGCAGGCACGGTGCCAATGGCCCTCAGGATGGAAACGTGCGAGCTCATCGAGACGGACATTGTTGCGCGAGTGCTGCCAGCAGAAGATGCCGCCGCACTTGCGGCAATGGTGGCGACGTTGGAAGAAGCCAAAGGGCTCTTGGCAGGATGATGCGGAGCACACCGAAGTGGAACTATCGGCCTAGGGACTGTTAGCACGACTGGACTAGGCAGGGATGAAAAGAGTGGACAAGTGTCGCTAGCACGAACTTCAGCCCTGCATCGGGTAAAGGGTAGCGTGGGGGACGACCGTCTGAATAGAGCAAGCGGTGCCGGCGTTGTACGATGGAAATTATCCGAAGACGAATCCGACATGCACAGGACGATGACCAGGACGGCCAGTATCGCCTCCGACAGGCGGTGGCAGCGTCTTGTTGAGATGTGGCACACCAAGCGCTCGGCATCTCGGCTCTGCAGACAGCGGGAGGCCAGACCAGGGCACGCTAACAGAGGATCCACTCGGACCATGTACGTAAGATCTGAGCCTCGAGCCCTGGTTGAGCACGCGACAGGGAAGGCCGTGCGGGCTAGCAGCGGCATAACGAACAAGTAGGAAAAGCGTCAATACATACCTGCCAGTGGTTGCGTGTGATTGGCCCAGCGACGGGCGACAGTGGTTCGGCGTTGTAGAGGCTCTGCATGTCCTCGTTGCCAATCTGCGAGCCGGGAGTCGCGCTGCCCTCATTTGCGACCCACCCAAATGCTCCCGCCGACCATGCTTGGTTGGGAGAGCTGACGCCAGAGTCGACCTTTGGCGGCGACCTGCTGCTGGGCTTCTCCGTCTTGCGCAGCGCAGCGGGTATCCCGATGGCGGTCCTGGGCTGGTAGATGCCCTGATGGCGGGCGAGGGGCAAATGTGTGGTGCGCGGGGAGGTAGGAGAGATGTTGGCGGGCGTGTTCAGGCCCGAGTTTGTGGGCGAGTACTGCGAGTGTGTCGAGTGTGTCGACTTGCGGTATGCGTGGTGTTGGTAGGGAGCATGTGCGTGTGTGTTGTGCGGAATCGCCGTTGCTGAGGAGAATGTTGTGGCCATGTTGAAGGTCGTAACTAGAGGTTGGATGTAGTCGGGGCAAAGCAAGTCAAGTCGACGGGGAGGTGTATAATACGTCCTATGTCGGTATCGACAGGCGGTGAAAGTGGACGGCTGGTATTGGTGCAATCAGTGGTATGCAGCCGTGGAACAGGAGTGCGGCTCCTTGTAGGGTGTGTTGGTGTTTTGGTTGGTCGTCAATTGGTAGCTGACGTGCAGGCGATAAGAGGACAGTCGGGCGGTGGTACAACAGACGCCGGGGCCACAAAGTCGACCGTGGTTCAGCAGGACATAGTCGAGTGAAGGGGAAGGTGATATGTGTGGTGATATGCGAGAGATATGTGAGGCGAGATAAGAAACAGCGGTGTCGCGTGAGTGCGGAGGAGACCTGGGGTGAGGCTCTGGGGACAGGCAGGATGAATTAACTTGTAGCCAGCCAGCGCTTCTGCTAATAATTACCTACAGCGAACTGACGGATGGGCGGCGATAGCCCGAAGGGGGATGCCTGTCATGCTTGGCAACCGAAAGAACGACAGGGTATCATCGGGCTACGACCGGCCATTTGAACATTGCATCGAGTAACGCCTTGGGAACTGCCCTCTTCCCACCACACTTGCTCTGCTCTGCAACACTCCCAAAACACACCTCGACAAAAGCGCATAAACAACAATCTCCATTCTACGCGAACGCCTCCGTTTCCCGCTCCCCCAAAAGGAACTCCCTCCCCTCTTCCTTCGCTGTGTGAGTTTAGCCCTCTTGAGGCGGCCAGCCGTTGGGTTCCACTTCTTCCCGTTTGGGCGTCCCTTATCTCTAGCCAATCACACCAGGACCAAATGAAAAGCAACCCCTCGACCTTCTCCGAGGACGGAACTGCTGCGTCAAGCGTGAACTCTGCCCTGGGGATATGATGTAGTCTCCGCGTCGTATCGTGATTGCATCTTGCTCAACAGACCGCGATAGACGTTGATAGACATGATAGACATGACAGCATACCTCACCTCTAAACGACAGGCAAGTAAGCCGCGAGAGGCGCTCCAATCCCGCTCAACTGCGGCCAGCCTGCAACAACTGGCGGGGCATAATTGCCACGCTACCTAGCTATTCAATGCACCTCATCCACTCCGATGCCACTGCAAGCTCCTGTAGCAACGACGCGCGCGCGCAATTATCCAATATATTATGCTCCACTCAATCCCACCTTGAGGCTATTCGGCCAGACCTCACGATCGTGGAAAAGGTGGGACTCTTAATGAAATCGTACCCGCTTATGGGTAAGGTAGCGTCGCGTTGTGAGCGTGGATCATGAAGCGGTCCTTGAGAGCTGAGCAGTATGGCGTGCAGCCATCCCCGGTCGTCTCTAGCACCACGCGAAGCCCTGCCATCAGACCAGAACCCACCCACTCCGCAACTTTCGCCGCCAAAACTTTGACGTATGCGCGCGTCGAAGACGTTGCAAAACGTCTGCTTTTCATCCTTCTATCGATTCGCCGGTCTTTCTACGGTCGATACACCTTCACCGCTCCTCAGTGACGACGTTCTCTGGTTCCTCGATGCCGTTTACGTCGTTTCTGCAGTAGCAACCGCCGGACAAGGACGACAAGTCCTCGTGATGTCTCGTGACGTCTTTTTCCTACATGGCAGTAATTTGTTTTGGTAATATCCCACAACGGCATGGCCGGCTGTGATGCAGAAGATACTGAGCACACTGTGACCTCACAGTGGATTATCACGTCAAGTATCTAGGGTTCTTATCAATCCGGGACGATCATGAAGCTGACAGCGACGATCTCCATATGCCTTGACGAGACATTAAGGATAAAGACGTCGACAAGCGGCAGGTGAAACAGCTTGAACCCTCTGAGCTAGTAGACCAGCAGCGACGCCTTGATGATGAGTTCGACCTGGACGTGGACGAAATCGATTCCATGATCACAATTGGTATGGACGACACTACCACGACAGGTACGTCAGCCTGGTATACTGCATCTCGCAAGACAGCTTCAGGGCCAGTCGCTTAATGGTAAGTGCATACCCAGTAGATCTTTGACCAGGGATGTAAGAAGCTTGGAACACAGCCTGGAACCAATCATTCGCGTGAGTGAGAGAGGTGTAGATTTATTGTATTGCTGAAAACGTCCATCTAGCTTACAAGAACAAGCAACACGACGAAACCTTGGAACATAGCCTAACAGAAGTTTGTTTTTGCTGCCGTTCCGGCTCATGAGCTTGTAGATGTGAGGTACGCCTCCTTGATCTTTCGGAAACCACAGCTTGTAGCAAAGGCCGACCACGATTACGGCCGGGCTTTGAAAAGCCACGTTACCTAGGTGTGTAGTAGCAACGTAAACAACTCTGAGAGCCGGGCACGTGCGAATTCCTAGATGGTCGAATGCAACCTCATTTGTTGTTCTCGTGTACTAATCGCATGATGCTTCATCCGTGCATATGTACCAGGTGCAGATTCTAGCTTAGACGCCGGGCAGTCTCGCCGAGACTCAAACATCGTGGCGTTAATTCCGCCATCTTCGGGTCGCATCGTGCGCTTCACTAAAATTGCGCCGCCGGCCAGTGGCCCACAACCTCACGATACCGCAAGAACTTCGGATTATGCTATTCGAGTGCGCCGATGGAAGATCCACGGTACTCAGCTCCCAAGGCTGCGCAATGGCCCCATCCCGAGGTCGAGAGCCAAGACGACTGCCACTGTGATCTGCCCGTGGATTTTACCGCGTAGATCAATGCAAGACATAGCAATATCAATCCACATCATCCACATCATCCACAGCATCCACAGCACTCACGACATCAAAGCCAGATGTTCTCAAATCTCCGGCGAATCTGCTCTTCCGGCTTCCGACGTTCACGGACAACGCCTACCTTGGCGTTCCTTGCCGAGACGCCATCATGAAGTTTGTTTTCCGGACCGAGGCTCAACTTGCCACGCCAGTGTCGCCCCTAATACCTAGGTAGTTGACAACAATGGAGCAGCTTGTGACGCGGGGAAGCGTTGCTTTCACTCTCGACGACTGTGGATACAAAACAAGACGACACCTGCGTTTGCACTACTTTAGCATGCCCGACTGCTCCACCTGAAAGACCCTTTGAGGGTCCACGCGCGACATCAAGGCTATCCCTGGATTCTCAAATCTACGTGGCAAAATGTCTTCAATTCTCTCAACTGAGCCCGTTTCGCCGAAAGCTACTCCGCTCCCACCACTGCCGTCTGAGGATCCGCTCACGTCCCAACAATGGAAGACACTTCTTGCTATTGCGGATGCGGTCATCCCAGCAATCAAGCCCATGTCCACGGCGAAGACGCGCACTGAAATCGCTGCGACCGACACCGATTACTCGACCGCGATTAGCAAGCTGAGGGCTCTAACGCCGGAGAATGACCCTGATGCGGTAACAGCGGTGAAGGACTACCTGGATGACTATGCGAGTCAGGATCCAGCGTTTCGAGCGGAATTACAACGTGTCTTCGCTATGTACATGCCGCAGAACCAAAGAAAGGAGCTGTGTATGGTGCTGAATGTCCTGAATACTAGAGCGGGGTCGCTGGCACTGACTGGTTATCTTACACCAATTAGCGAACAACCCGCTCATGTAAGAGAGTCAATCATTCAGGGCTGGGCTACCGCGCGGCTTGGAGCGCTTCGCCAACTGCGTCGCTCGTTGGTGATCATTACTAAACAGGCTTGGATCAAGACGTCGCCTGCATTGAGACGCGTTATAGGCGCCCCACGCGTGCCTCTGGGCATGAAGCCTGGGAAGGGCTTCGACTATGAGTTTATTCAGATTCCTCCCGGCGACAAGCCTGAAGTTATCGAGACAGACGTGGTGATTGTGGGAAGCGGGTGTGGAGGTGGTGTGACCGCGAAGAACCTCGCGGAAGCCGGGCACCGTGTGTTGATCGTAGAGAAGGCATATCACTGGACTCCAGATCACTTTCCCATGGCTGAACTGGATGGATGGCACCATCTTTTCATGAGTGGATCATTTTTGACATCTGATGATAGTTCTGTCAGTGTTGTAGCAGGTCAGTCCATGGGCGGTGGAGGTACTGTCAACTGGTCTGCTTCTCTCCAGACACAGGGCTACGTCCGTCGCGAGTGGGCAGGACGAGGTCTTCCATTTTTCACATCTGCAGAATTCCAAGAGTCTTTAGATCGTGTCTGTGATCGCATGGGCGTCTCAGACAAGAACATCAAGCAGAATCGCAACAACGAGATACTACTTGAAGGTGCCAGGAAACTCGGCTGGACCGCTAAGCCTGTGCCACAAAATACCGGTGGACAGCAGCACTATTGCGGTTATTGCAACTTTGGCTGCGGCTCGTGTGAAAAGCAAGGCCCGGTAGTATCCTTCCTCCCTGACGCTGCCCGAGCGGGAGCAAAGTTCATCGAAGGCTTCCACGCAGAGAGAGTCATCTTCTCCAATAAGAACGGCCGAAAGATAGCAACCGGCGTACTTGGCACATGGACATCCCGTGACGCTCACGGCGGCGTTGCTGGTTCCCCCCTAACAACCCGCCGCGTCCTCATCAAAGCAAAGCGTGTCGTCGTATCAGCAGGAACCATGCAATCTCCGCTTCTCCTCATGCGTTCTGGACTCAAGAACCCGCAGATAGGTCGCAACCTATACCTTCACCCCGTCACCTTCCTTGGCGCTTATCACAAGGAAGAGATCAAACCTTGGGAAGGCGGGATCCTCACTGCGGTAGTAGGCGAGTTCGAAAACATGGACGGCAAAGGCCATGGTGTCAAGCTTGAAGCTACGAACATGGTTCCTTCTGCGTGTCTTATGTGGGTTGATTGGAAGAGCGCTATGCAATACAAAATCGACGCGGCGAAGTTGAAACACATGGTTGGGTACATTTCCATTGCAAGAGACCGCGATACAGGGCGAGTATATCCAGATCCAGTCGACGGTCGTGTGAGGTTTTCGTACCAGACATCCAAGTTTGACCAAAAACACGTATTAGAAGGTGTTATTGCGCTGGCGAAGATTCAGTATGTGGAAGGAGCACAGGAAATCTTCACCGTAATACCCAATATGCGACCATTCGTTCGGGATCCTTCCATGCCAGCAGGCGATGGTATTAACGATCCAGAGTTCCAGACCTGGATCCAGGATATCAGAAATATGGGCCTATCATCACCTGAGAGTGTGTATGTCTCCGCGCATCAAATGGGTACTTGCCGGATGAGTGCGAAGGAGAAAGACGGTGTTGTTGACCCGGGAGGCGCTGTCTGGGGCACTGAGGGCCTGTATGTGGCTGATGCGAGTGTGTTCCCTAGTGCTAGTGGAGTTAACCCCATGGTTACAAATATGGCCATTAGTGATTGGATCAGTCGAGGGATCAAAGAGGGGATGGAGGAGAGGCCGAGGTTGTAGGAGTATAATTCCAAGGAGGTTGTGTACCTCCTGACGGGAACACTAATGACTTTGAAAGATGGTAATAGATATAAAGCGCTTTTAGAATTCGAGTGCTATGAGAATGCATGATAGCTTCTGTGATTGACGCACGCTATGCTACTGGAGACTTTTCTTCAATGATTTCCCCAAGCCTTTTGCAGAACATCCCTTACTGAGCTCACTTTGATCTCAGGAAACACCTGGTTGAGTGTCTTTTCGGGCTTCAAGTCAAACACCCCGTCATGGAAAAACTTTCCGAAAGTTGCCATGAGTAACTGGGCATTCTCCTTGGGCATGATAGGATAGATGTCTTTGTGAGTCTCAAGCTCAGTTACCGTTCCTGTATTAAGCTTTTCGATCGAGTCGTATGTAACTCTGAATTTTATTCCTATTTTCATGTTAGTGAGTACACTATGGTACTTCCTGGCGGGATATATCACCCTTGACCTCTTCTGCAGTCTTGACGAAATCATTCCAGGTAAGCCTGTCCCCAAGAATGTAGCTCTCCTCGTCCCACTTTGGGAGATTCAAGCTCGCAGCTACAAACTTCGCAATATCCACAGTGTGGATAAATGAGATTGGAGTTGTTCCGGTACCGGGGAGAGCGGCAAACTCGTTTTGCATGTCGACGGCCATGGTAAGGGGGGTTACGTGTGTAGGTACGTGGGGGTAACCCCAGTAATCAAGAAAGAAACCCACATAGAACCGCGTGTGTTCGAGGGATGTCTTCTTTAGGACCTCCACACCCTCGAACTTGACGCGGCCGATGATGAAGTTAGCGGCGTCGGCTTGCCTACGTGGTACGTTCAATGTAAGCAGTGCTTTTGCCAAATAGAGTCGGAATTTCGCTAGCACTTACTCTCGAGTCATGGGGACACCCCAGATACTTGGAACAAAACGCTTCGTTACCTTTGACGCATCTGCAGCCATCACCAGGTTGTTCTGCGGCTTTGCCGAAGTGGTCAAAAAGATCGTGGAGATCACTGTATGAACATCATTCTCTTCCAAGATCTTCTTCATACTCTCAATGTTGTCGTAATCGACAGCGATGATTTCACAGCCAATCTCGGCTGCAAGCTTAGGGTTCGCCTTGATGTTCTTAGTACACCGAGGTTTCTTTTACCACACAAGTAGTTTTTGCTTACCGATCTGCTCAAGATCTTCACCTGATGTTTGCCCTGGCGAAGAACCGTCTCCGCAATAGTGCGACCCAGGCCATTTGCACCACCAGCAATTGCGATGACAACCATGTTGAATGATTTCGGGAAGTTTTCAAAGAGCATTGATAGGAGATCTGTAGCAATGATGGCTTGAAGGTTTTTGACAGAGACCTATGGTGCAACGATGCTCTATATGCGTATGAAACGTCAAAGTGACAAGCTCAAGACGTATACGCATAATTATGTAGTCTGGAATTAGAGTTGAGTGTTCGTCCGTTTCAATCTTTGTAACTCATTGTTGCGAGTGCGCATAGTGAATGTGAATACGTCGGACGTCAAAACTCGGAGAATCATTAGTGTTTAATAAACAGCATGGATGTTTAGCTAACAAGAGGCGTTAAGACTTAATAAGCTTTTTGCGCAATCGAATTATGAGTTTCTTGCCTAGCCTTGACAACGGTTATCCACATAGTTGATTTGTGGTCAACCCTGGGTGGCTACAGTGGTAGCACGCAGATCCAAATGGTGGACCTCTCGGATATCAACACTACATCAGTATTGACCCAGCGATTGCAACATCGCTCTGAGAAATGATAGGTGGTGGTCTGTTGTTTAGTGCTGTTCGTGCATGGTGATGTTTATGTCGTACTGCAATTCCCCGCAATAGTTGTTAGCCCGACGGCGAAGAAAGAAGTCCCGCCAGCCGGCGCTAAAGTCCACCACCTGGAGAAGCTAGAATAGGCGCTATGTCGCACAGTCCTTGCAGCGACACCTCCGTAATTTCTCCAGCGCGTTCTACACTGTTGATCACTGATCGGATTCTACTTACCAGAAATTGGAGCTCGCACCTTACGCCTCAGCCATCTCAATGTGGCTGGGATACCTGTATAGGTTGAGGTCTTACCAAGCGACGATATCAGGGACGAGAAGATGATCTTTACACAGCACAGTGTTCGTCCGTCTTCGTCTAATCGTGTCAATAATCTCTAGGTATATAGTTCTTTCGCGATCTACTCTCCCATAGTATCGCATCAAACCGAACCAGAAAACTCACATTCAATCCGCGCCTCCACCATTTACTGCAACCCTTCGAATCTTACAATGGCACCGTCTTGGTTTGTTGCGCATCTAGTGGCTTGCGGTATTCTCTCTTCCGTTCAAGCTCTCCAACTGCCAAATTATGTCGGGTTGAAGACGTCGCAGAACAATAGCATTCTCGATATCACATTCCACAATCCGAACTCGACTCTGAACTTCTGGAATCAAGACACCACGAACGGGTTGACTGATATCGTAGCGAAGCTTCAAAAGGACAATGAGACCAAAGTCGTTGTCTTTCGGAGCGACGTCCCAAGATATTGGATAGGTCACCTCGATCTAACAATGCCTGACCTCAGTAAGTCATCCCGTTGAACATTTGGATTCGAACAGAACTGAGGATTCGAAACAGCGGAGACGTGGCCAAGTTACGCCGAGCTTATTTATAATATCTCTGCGCTACCGCAAGTTACCATCGGCGCTGTAGAGGGCAGGGCGCGGGGTATTGGAAATGAATTCCTTGTTTCGCTCGACATGCGCTTTGCAACCAAAAATGATACTCTGATCGGACAACCAGAGGTTGGCAGTGGACTCATTCCAGGCGGAGGAGGAAGTCAGTTTCTTCCAGGACTGATCGGTAAGTCATATCTCTCTAAACTCTTCACATGATACATGGACTGACTTCATCTACCACCACTTAGGACGAGGGCTAGCAATGGAATATATCCTGAGTGCGAAAGATATAAGCGCTTCCGAAGCAGAGAAAATTGGCTGGATAAACAAGGCTTTCGACACGTCGGCCGAGATGAACACCTACATCGACGGTCTTACTTCACGCCTGCGACTGTTTCCTCAGCAAGCGCTAGCGAGTGCTAAGAAGTCGATCAATCGGCGGACAGCACCAAAGCTAGAGGATATTCAACCTGACGCATCAGCTTTCGTCAAGCGTCTTGAGGATCCAGTTGTGCAAGCATTGAGTGCCAAGACAGCAGCTGTGTACCAGAAGTCTTCAGCCTTCGAAATCGAGCTTGATCTAGGCAATTCGCTACTGCAGTTATACCAATAGACTGAGAGCGACGATGGTGTATGGTAGGGAAGCCAATTAAGCTTGGGGTCGTCGTTGCGCCGGACAAACGAATGGGCCCAGAACTCTGCCTGAGCCCCATGTAGTTGAACCTTTGGGTTTAGTACAGATGAAGATATGCCTTCTGTTCCTTTCGCTGTCGTTATTCATGCCAACATCTTAATGTTCATTGTTCCAAATAGACATACATGTATCTAAGCTCTGCCGCCATCGAATATGGTTAGTATGAGTTGTTTTGATATGTATCTACGCTGGTAAATAGATATACTATACCCTAGCGTGGGTATAAGGTTCTGTCTGGGTCAGCTATAATCATATGCGGTGATTTGGTGGGTATATCTGGGTATACTTGGGTATACCATACCCAACCTCAACCCACGCTTTGACCACCCCAACCCAACCCAACCCAACCCATACCCACCTTTAGCGCTGGAATCATGGGTTAGAGGTTGTGGTTGGGTTAGGGTCACCAAACCCGACCCAAACCCGACCTAACCTTGACCCAACCCTGACCCATTCACCAGCGTATATGTACCTAAGATCGACTGGTTCACCCGACAAGTACATCAACGAGATCACTAGAGAAGCAAATAAACACCACTCACAGTAATTCACATGAAGATCTAATGAGTAAGCTATCTTGCCTAGGACTTTATTTTCGACGACCACTTATTGCGACAACCTCACAAACCCAACGTTTGGAACGATTTCACCGTATCGACAATAGACTCCTCTAGATCTCTGTACTTCATCCCCAAGATTTCGACCGATCGTTTGTTACTGTATCTATACAGCCTGTCGGTTCCACCGTCTGGATAGTCACCACCTGGCGTGGCACCGGCCGAGATTTTCCTGTTGTATTCAGGAAAGCGTTTCTCGATGATGGCGAGTATCTCTCTGTGTGAATAGTATCCCGCTACCGTGAAGAAACGCTTGTTCGCTGCTGCGGGTTGTTCGAGTGCTGCGACATGTGCTGCAGCAACATCGCGGACGTCTACCCACAGATAGAGAAGGTTATTGTCGGGTATCTCGTCTTGGAATTTGCCCTGTGCCGCCTCAAGAATACGTTGGTTGGAGGTATTCATGCTGTCAAGAGTCTCCAGACCATTAATCTGGCTTCTTGTTAGAAATTGTTCCTTTATACCTAGAGCTGGATGAACTTACAACCGGACCAAAGACCATTGGAGGATTGATGACAGTAATGTCAAAAGCAGGGTTTTCGCCCGCTAAGAACTCCCATGCAGCCTTCTCGGCAAAGGTTTTGCCAGCGCTGTATGCCATGATAGCGTTTGCTTGCGCTTCTTGTTCGGTGACAGGGTTCCAGTCTTCTTCCTGATAGATGTGACCTGGCCGAGTGCCTTTACTGGCGTCGGCCATTGCGGCAAAGGAAGAAGTTATAACGACACGTTTCACTGAAGGAGCGCTGGCCTTGATGCTCTTGAGAATTCCAACCGTGCCTTCGACTGCTGGGTCTATCAAGTCTTTCTTAATGTCGGCGATGTTGAAGCGGTTCGGGCTGGCCGTGTGCAGCACTGCTTCGAACGGCGGATTGGAGATGACGGCCTTGTCAAAAGCGCCTGGTGTAGCGATGTCTGGCACAACAGCGAATCCCAATTGACCGTTCTTGACATAGAGTTCGTAAGCTGTCGTGAGTTTTCCGACTTTCTCTTGGGTGCGGACTGTAGTGACTACTGAGTGCTCGCACTTCAGCAGTAAATCGAGAGTATGGGCTGCGATGAAGCCATTGCCACCAGTAAGGAGAACGCGCGTCATTTTAGAGAAATGGGATGATGTAAACTATATGCTTCAAGTAAAAACCAGCAGGACAATATTGATCAAGCCTTGGTGCCGCTGTAATAGACGCTACAGCTGTCGAGTATAGCTTTTCATATACGCACAGAACGGTGTTTGGGTTGCGCCGTCGGTTCTTTCGGTCTGCCGGTGATGGGTCAGCCCTCAGTTTAGCTTGCCTTGTCTGGATTCCCTCGTCGGATCAACGGTATGTATACAACGCCGTGCTAGGAGTAACTTGGTGTACCTGAGAATGAGACCAACCACTAGTGTAAAACAGGGTTTCGTGATGGTCGAAGTACTCGTCATGTCGTATGAAGCTCCGCGTCTGATTATTAAACAATTATGGGCCGGTAAGCGGTTCACCTTCGAAGTCACATTGCGTCAGCTCCCAATATGATTACCGATATTGCAGTGTGTATTTGTTGTTTTCTGTACAAATGTTGTTAATTCTGAGAAATTGGAAAGCGAATGCATCGGTCTACGTATAGACAGGGGCCAGGCACTGTGCTGTGTCAAGAATCCATACTAGTTTGCATCGTAACAGTACCTTCATGTCCAAGGGTCAAGCCCTGAAAGCCGTCTCCCCAGACGTTGCCCAAAGAATGGATAAACCGAGATCGTGACTATCGACCGACGACTGCCTCTTGGTAAAGACGACCACGGTAGCGGTCAATACCACCGAATGAACGCATTTTGACATCGCGCAGCTCATGAAATGTGTAGACGGCTGTCTTGACCGCGATTGCGCTGGTATTGTCGAAGAAGTGGGCTAAGATATCCAGAAAGGAGACCATACCTGTGGTTTTGTGAGTGAGAGGTGAGTCGCTCTCCTCCTTCGCGTTGGAGAGCCTGGGAACCCTCTCTGATAGCAGACTCAGTGATCGAGAGCTGGTTTTAGATAGCAGCTTTGGTCAATTTGTCGTCGTGACAGGCGACTTCCAAATCCGCATACCAGATAACATCTCAGACGTAAAAGCCGCGATTCTGAGTGTAGCCATAACGATAGCTGGTTGAGGACTCTATCAACCACTGGAGCTGCCGCTCTGTTAGTGTTAGCAAGTTAGTTTACACCATGTAAGACTGATAACACCACCCGATAGATGTCGTTGTCACAGCATCTGCTTTCGTATCATACCCTCTCTTTCGTCTTCCCACACTTCATCTCATATTTCTCTGTGAGCTGAGGTTGGCTTTATCCGTTCTGCGTATGCTGCGGAAGTGTACAGGCACTGTATAGCGGCTTTCGTCGGCCTTCGCTTATCAGCACTGCCATGCAGTGTATCGACTCGAAGGATCATGCCCAGATAGCGCCACGGCGAAGGATCAATGGCCTCTAAAGGATCAGGCATCGCATGAGGTTGGTGAGGCGAAGGCGCCCCCAGGTGTCTGGGAGCCTGGCGATAGGTACGGCCAACGCGCTGCCTGACATGTGAAACAAAGGCAGTAAGGCACAGATGATCCACCGTGGAAGGCCAGAATGTTGAAGCACATCTGATTCGCTCTCGGTCCATGTGCCGCGTTGATCTGTGCGGCCCGGATAAGGGTCCAAGCTTGTGACATCACCGTCGCAACGTCGGTGGGATGGCCTCGAAACCTCACTCGCCCGTTGAGTTCCTCGACGCGCGATCTCCAGCTTTGCTACCGCGAAGAGGATAGGCGTTGTCTTAGGACCCTGAGCGCCTGAAACTACGGGACCCAAAACAACGTGTTGCATGCTACCCGTAGAGTTTGTCGGTGTGTCTCTTATAGTGCACATGGCGCCTTTTCGCTCAGGCAGGGTTTGCCTGCGATTGCGCGAATTGAAGACGACGACTGCCACGCAATTCCTTGACCACTGCCACCGAGCACGCCATTGCAGTACTCTCTTCCTGCCTCAACGACTCCTTCACCACCACACCGACCCCGCCTGAATACAACGCAACGTCTACAAACCTCGACGGCGACGCCATCACAATCATCACCATGACCAGCGTACTGAAAGGCGGCTTTGGCTCGCCAAATGGTGCGCCTTTGCTGGCGACCAACTCCGGCACTGAGTTTGTCAACACTGTCTGCCCGCTCAAAGGCGCCCTTGATGGCTATGACAACACAATACCCTGCAGCAAACAGAAGATCCACGTCCCGCAAAACTTCTGCGATGCCATGGCCATCCGCGAAGAAGTCTATGGCGAGCAGGGCGTGCCTCTTGAAGCCGAGTTCGACGAAGACGATGCCCGCAGCTGGCACTGGGTCGCTTATGCTTCCGTTGCCACCCACACAACCCACCCCCCGAAGACACTGCGCCGCTCCGACTCTGGCAACACGCCCGCTGACGACGCACGACGCGCCTCTGCCACCGCCACCCGCGTTCCCGTCGCGACTATTCGGCTCATTCCTCCGCCCCACGGACCGAACAAGTACGTCGACGAGGACAAGACGGACAAACACGCCGATGCAGACCCACCCGGCGAGGAACAGGAGACTAAGCACCCGCCGGAGCCTTACATCAAGCTCGGCAGACTTGCAGTCCTGGCGCCCTACCGAAGCCTCGGCCTTGCGAAGCTGCTCGTCAACGCTGCGCTCGACTATGCCATGATGAACCCCGACCTGATCTACCGGCCTCCGTCTCCCACCGCTTTGGAGATGGCACAGATGCTGGGCAACAACAAGGAGCGCGAGATTACTTGGCAAGGGTTGGTCATGATCCACGCCCAAGCTAACCTCCAGAGCATGTGGGAGAAGCACGGTTTCCACGAGGAGCTGAGGAACGACGACGGTGAAGTCGAGATACCAGCAGAGCCTCACTGGATCGAGGAAGGCATCGAACACGTAGGCATGTGGAAGAGACTGTCTGTCGAGAAACGAAAGAGGTTGTCTCTATCCTCCCTGGACTCTTCCTGAGCCTGGTCGCGTCTCCGCCCGCGTACATTGGCTCAACATTTTCACGCAATTCGCGTGTATGAGCCTAGAAATCACTCTCTACTTCTTTGCGGACCCCTTCATAAGACTATTCACTTACACTTGTGTTTCAAGTCTTCACGCCGGGCATCACCCAGGATCTATCATCGCTACAAGACCCTGGATATTATGACGACTTTCACACTCGTTTCACCCATGCGACGATTCAACATTGCTTATACCCCCACACCGCACGATCACGACGACACGGCCGAACTTCACTAAAACTTGCTTTATTTGCTTATAGACAAGAGGGATAGGAGTGCAAGCGATAGATGGCGTAGCGGTATTTTGTATCAAATCAACACCAAAAGTTACATCTCGTACATGTCATTTATTTGCGTGTTCACCTGTTCTCTGTCATTACACGAAATCCCGTTCCCACTGAGTTGTGATCCGTGTAGGCAGACACTAAAGTTGGCTTGCTAACCGTGTGGTACTACTCGGGAGTGCATCTGGAGGAAGGCGCATGCCATCAGCACGACCACGTCGCGAACACACCAGTTTTATAACATTCACAGCACGTGGGCACAGTGGCACAAATGAAGCACATCAGAATACCTCCCGCTGTCGAAAAGTGATTGATTCGGCGCCTCTACCACATTCCGTCGCAAAGAGCTAGTTCCGGTCTCTCACTTCCCTCTGTCTATTTATCTTTCCCCCACGTCATCAAGGGAAAGCGACGCGCCGCTCTTCCACCGCTTCAATACTGTTGACCAGGATCGCACATCACTCGCTTCCATGTCCGAGACCACAATCACGAAACCCAATCTCTCAACTCGAGTCCTCAGTCTTCTCCGCTCACTTTGTCGGCCCATCATCATGCTTCCGTTTATCGGTCTTACAGTCGTTATCTTGCTCACCGCGCTCTACGGCAATGTCCACGCTATTCGCCTTCCCAGTGCCGATGGTAAACACAAGTACAAGGTCGCTGTCAGCCACTTTCCTTTAACAGACACTGCCCGAAAAGATCCATACAAGCCGGATGAGGTCCGCCGGCTTATGGTCAGCCTGTACATGCCCGTACCCAAGGAGTCATGCTCGAACGAATGCCAAAACAGCTACATGCCCCCTCAGACCGCTGCGATTGCGAACGAGCAGTTCATCGAAGGCGGGAAGCGTGATGCAGGCATATTCGAAGAGATGGCCTATGGCGTTTGCTGTGGCAGTTCTACCGACATCGATGCAAGCAAATTCCCAGTCATAGTCCTGGAACCGCATGTTGATACGAGTAGACTACTCTACTCTACCATGGCACGTTTCATTAGCGCAAACGGTGTCGCCGTTGTTGTCATCGACCATCCTGGCGACGCTTCCATTGTCCAGTTCTCTTCCTCCCGCACTCGCGACCTCCAGACTGTATATAACAGTGGTACTGTCCCTCTCTCGAACTTCTCCCCCATCACAACCTGGAACACCACAGTCCAAACTGCTGTCGACACGCGCATGGCCGACATCGCGTTTACGCTCTCTCAGATCAACAACGTCGCTCTTTTGCAACAGCATTTCACAACTCAACGTTTTACGTCAGGATTGAAGACAGCGACGTACGGTATCATTGGTCACGGCCTTGGTGGCACAGTAGCAACCTCACTCGGTCTCACCTCTTCTGCCGTAAAGTTCAGCATAAATCTTTCCGGTACACCACCCCTCTTATCTTCAGATGTTCGAAACGTTCCTCTTTTCTTCTTTGGTCGCGCCGACTTCCGCCGCGAGCACGACATCCACTGGCCGACGACCTGGTCGCACCTAACTGGCCCAGCTACGGAGTTTGACCTCGACGACTCTGCCATCTTCGATGCGTCCGATCTTCCCATGATTGTTGAGCTAGCTAGGACGGAAGGTGGAAAGAAGGGCACCAAAGCCCGCGGGCTGAGTGGGAACGCTCCAGCGGAGGGCGCGCGTGCGGTCACCTGTTTTCTGGAGAACATTGTGAAGGAACATTTCAAGCTGAATGGACAGGGCATGGATCTGGGTGGCTGTGTTAGGAGGTTTGAGGGTGTGAAGCCATATCCTGGGTACAAGAAGGAAGAATAGCTGTATCAGCTAATATGTCTTCGGATGGAAGACACATCTGTTAGATTTAGTAACAGGCAAAAGGAGATCAAGGCTACACAAAAGTGGAGCATCTAGGCATAGTCAAGATATGGAAATGCAGAAGTTTCGAACCAAATCGAGTTGGGCCGAGAATTTCATGATTACAGGAATTGCATATACGCTCAAAACCCAAACACATTCTCTCCCTCCTTGAAACCCCACTTCTCCAGTGCCGGCAAGGCAGCCTTCTGAATCATACCGGGAGGTCCACAAAGGAAAACGCCCGTCCCCTCTTCTGGCTTAAACAGGACTTCTTGAATCAGATCAGCATCTACATGACCCTTCTTGCCCTTCCATTCGTCACTCGGATGACTGAGGATATGAGTAATCTTCAGTCTGCCTCCGCTAGACTTCTCAAACTCATCAAGCTCCTTGTGCAGCAGGATGTCCTTTTCAGACTTGTTCGCATCCAGAACACAAATCTGTATATCAGGATCGCTCGATAGCATCGCACGTGCGATGAGTGAGTATCCGGGCGTGATACCACTTCCGCCGAGAACGAGATTGATCTTCTTGAACGTGTAGTCTTTTCCAGAGATGCTAAAGACGCCCTTGCCGTTGTATACTATTTCGCCGGTTGGGCCTCGGATCTCGATCTCCTCACCGAGAGGCATGCAATCGAGAATGTTGGACATTGCGCCACCGGGTTGCGAATTAGATGGAAAGTAGGTCTTGACAGTGAGTTCGAAGGTACCGACGCCGTCTGCGAGATTCTGGTTGTCAGTCTTCTTCTTATCGCTTCCATCTGATGAATCAGGAAGAAGTGGTTTGGTAGGCGTGTATGATCGGATGAGCATCTTGTCTTGAAGATGGTAGCCTAGCTGTACGTGTTGGCATGTTGCGAGACCCAGATCGGGTGTATCGTCTGGTAGTTGGAAGGTGTACGCGCGTGTGTCTTCCGAAATGGACTTGCGGTCGAGGAGCTTGACCGGTACCCATCGGTGTTTCTGCAGAACAACTTTACTGTGTTGAGAAGATGATTGTGACTGCTCTTTCGCAGCTGCTTCTGCGTTTTTCTTGATGAAAGCAGCAGTCTTGTCAGTCACTACACCAATTGCGCATTCTGTTCGGAATATTAGCGTACGTGCAACAACCATAATTGGAAGACTTACCATTGAGCTTCTTGTAAGCATAACCGTCATGTATGCTCTCAAATTCATTACTAGTCTCTGCGTGCACTTTGCCGGCATGGCCCAATACGGCGGCTTTACCTCCGGGATGCCATTCCAACACGCTCGTCGCATCGTAAACCTTTCCATCGACCACGATCCAGCAATCATCCTCTTTGTCATGCTTCTCGATCTCCTGCCGAGTGAACTGCTTCTGTGGCGTACCAGCCGACTGTTTGACAGCCGCCATCTGGTTCTCAACGCTCGGCTTCATCCACCCACCATCCGCCGTGCCTGGCTCCACCGGATGACGGAACATGATTGAAGGCATATCAGAGTCGTCTCCCTGTACGATTGAAGGTCGAACAATGTACCAGCAGTTGTTCATCATACCCATGACGTTCCAGTTTGGATCTTTCGGCTGGGTGTTCTTGAAGACGTTGAAGCAGCGCACTGTGATGCTGTTCGCTCTGAGTAAGTGCGAAATCTCAATGTCCACATGCCAGTGTAGCCACGTCCAGAACTTGTTGCCATGTCGAATAGGCGCATCTGGGAATTTTCGAATACAATACAGCCACGTCTCTCCATCGTCCAGCGAGACCTCCACTCTCTGTACTTCATGACCACCGCCATCGTATGCATAACCTTCAATACGGTACGTCTTTCCTTTCTTGGCCTCGGAAAGCGGTATCTTTTCCCCTTGCGCAGGCTTCACAATGACCGAGTTCAAGTTTTGCTCATTGCAAGCTGTGTCGGGATGGCGGAACAACGTCTCCGCAAATTGGCCGTCCTTTTCCGTAACAAATGATGGTAGGACGCGGTTATCCCAAATATGATAATGTGAGTCATTTTCCTTCTCTGATATCCAGATACGCTTTAGCCACTTGACGCAGCGTCCACCAACGTACCCTGGTATCATCAGTCGCACCGGGTATCCGTGATCAGGGGGAAGCGGGAGATCGTTCATTTCGTATGCGAGAATAACGTCGTTTGTTACATCCATCACGTAGTCAAATGGTAGACATGTGGAATACTTCCCCTCACTGGGCTCGTCTGCGCCCTCGAAATTGACCCAGTAGCGTTTGCCTTCTGGCATCTTTGCTGGTAAGCCAGCTTTAAGCAGGATGTCTTTCACCAACGGTCCTTTCCAGTATGCGCAACTGACAGCCGCGCTACCCCAACTGAATCCCTTAGACTTTTTGATCATGTTCAGCTCTTTCCGGCGGTTACCGTCACACGCCAAAGCTACCGGAATGTTGATGGTATCAAAATCGTTCTTCAGATTGTCCATGGACAATACAAGCTTACCGCCTTCGACATCCAACTCGTGGAATTCCCACAGCAGTCTTGGGACAGCGCCATGATTGCGCACATAGTGCAATTCGTTAGGCGTAATCAGTCCAGCGTCGTAGAGATGTGATAGGTTTGCCTCGGCGTTCATTGGATGCTTACCCGTCAGGCGAATTAAATCTGAAGAACGTGGCAGCCAGTTGTCCGGGGAAAATTGATCTGCTTCATCGATGGAGATGGTGCTACGGTTGTGCGTTTGAGGGCTTTTGCGCTTTCCATCGTTCTGTTCAAGGGTTTGGATGTAGTCCTTCTCGTGTTGTAGAGTTCGAAGCAATGCGATTTCTTGCACGGAGTAACGCTCTCGAAGCTTCTCATACTCTGTCTTGTTCTTATTTGCGGCTTCATCGCTAGAGTAGCCAGAGTCCTCCCCACTTTCGGCATATGCGTCATGATGCTTGTCGCTGTCGCCCTGAGTTCGCTTCCATTGCTCTTCGTCTAATGTACCGTCACCTTTCTTTTGGTCCTTTGTACCGTCATCCTGGTGCTCATCCTTCTTCTTCTGTTCTTCTTTCTCGCGCTTCTCCACGTTCGCCGGCCACTCCTCTTGGTTCTTGACCCAATCTTCCGTGCACGGGAGCACAAACCTCCAGCCTAAGCTTCTATTCTCAGGGTGTCGCAGGTGGAGATCCTTTTCTTCTAGCACAATATCTCGAAAGTTGACAAGATCGCCCTTCTTCTCTTTTCCCGTCAAGTCTTGGTGACCCTCGCGTGCTTCTTCGACGTCGTCGCGCGTCTTGGCCTCATCACTCTCGTGGGTGATGCCAGCCCGACGGTCATCGCGATTCTTGTAGCCGACGCGATGTTGGTGATTATGTTCGGTCGACCAGTCAGGCTCCTGCTCGATCTCCTCTCGCGTTGAGCCAGGGTGATCGGTAATGTGGACTCGCCAGGGGACTGGAGGCATCTTTACGCGTTTTTCGAGAGCAGCAAGGCCAAAGAATTACTACATCCTCGCGAATATGCATGTCGCACACGAGGATATGTAGCGAACTGACCATAAGCATGATGCTGTCGTTGTGTCGTCATGGTCGGTTTGCTTTTCTGATGCACGACGCGCTCCGGACAATCTCGTTGGTTCACCCACAGCGACTAATCCGTACTATTTGTAAATGCAACGCTTCCGCGGGTAGATCGGAATGTTGGGGTCCCGCCGACTAGTTAGTCTCAGCCTAAAAGTCGCTTCCATTGCCGGAGAACCATGGTAGGTGAGTTCAAACGTTAAGATGAGGTGCCGGGTTTGCAGCTTGAGATGAAGGGCGGCGTCGAAAGAGGCTGGATCACGAGTCATAGTAGCTTCGAGCTCCCATACAGACACCTCAAACAGGTTGCTCAGGACATGGAAATAGTGCTGAAAGTATGTTACATTTGCGCAAGCATTAGCTTGCTTTGTCGTGATTCTCTTGCTTTGTCATGGTCCTCTACACTATCTTACACATTAATCTTGCCAACTTTCCCATCCCTCCTCCCTCCAAACGCCGCTCTTGCCTCCTTCTTTTAATACAACCCTCAAATCCTGCACCCGCTGAAATTTGTCCACTGCCTTACACATATCCACCACACTGAGCGCTGCACCCATGACTGCCGTCAAAGCTTCCATTTCGACCCCCGTAGGACCCGTACACTGGACCTTTGCTTCGATCTGGATGCCGCCGTAGCCGGGGTCGATGCTGTACGGGGATATGGGTATCGATGGCAAGGAGTCTGGGGAGGATCCACCCGAGTTGGACCCAAAAGCACGAAGTTCGACCCCGACATGCGTCAAGGCAATCGGATGGCATAAAGGTATTATCTCGGGGCATTTCTTTGCTGCCATGATGCCCGCTATTCGCGATGTACCCAGAACATCGCCTTTTTCCAAGCTGTTCGAGCGTATCAATTGGAGGGGGGTAGGGTTAGTAAAGTACACGGTTCCGACGGCGATGGCGGTGCGTGTTGTGTGTTGCTTGTTCGAGACGCTGACCATGTGTGCGGAGCCGGAGGCGGTCAGGTGGGGGAGGTGTGGTTGAGGACTTGTGGGCTGGGCTTCTGAGGTTGGAGGAGGTTGTGGGGTTTGCGGTTGTCGTTGATGTAGTTTATCTTTCCCATCCGTCTTATCGATCGAGCTCGGCTTGGATTCGGCTTCAGGCGAAGGGAAGGTGGCGTAACGTGAGGAGGTCGAGTACATCCTACGACCCACCAACCTAGACGTCGTCGAGCCACTGGACTCTCCTCTTACTACCTCAGTCATACCATGCTGCGCCTGTGCCACTGCCTCAACATCAGGTTGCTGTTGCTGCAACGGCTCATGTTCCATATCATCAGCCAGAAACCCCAGACCTTCCGCTTCCATCTCATCCCAATCCAGCTTGCCTTCCGCATCACCAGTCAGAGATTGTCTCTCAGAAGACACATCATGCCACCTCATTGCCATCCTCTCTGCTGCATCATTGTCAAGATTGTGATCTATCACCATCTGATCTAATACCGCCTTTAGCTTTTCGTCAACTATTCCTTTAACCATCTGGCCCGTGAGATTAACATTTTCAAACCTCGCCTGCCATCTTTCAATCAAGATCTTCAGCCATGTTTGTAGTGTGCGTTTATTCTCAGAGGTCCAGACCTCGTAGGGTAACACGTCGAGGCGTGGATAGGATTTTTTAAGCCGGTCTCGTAGGGCGAGGACTTGCTGCTGAAGTTGGGGGACGGGAGCGTCGAAAGTGACGATGAGATCTTCGTCGATAGGTAAAATGCCGGATGGCGGAACAACGAGACCAGGACGTTTGCTTGGTGAGGATGAGGGCGAGGATGATAGGAGATCAAATGCATGTCCTTCGCCAGGCACCGTTGGCACTCGTCCCTTGTCCATGATTGGATCCGCAAGCGCATTTTCCTCGGAGCTTCGATCTAATTCGTTTCGACCCAAGACCGAATAAGGACCTGACCCCCCAACTGACCTTACGACCCAGTCGGAGGGTAAGACTTTCCTGTCTCTTTGTTCTTGTATCTTAGGAGGATGTGTAGGTTCCTTCCTGATCTTTTTCAATGCATCATCCAATATATCACCAAGACTTTTGCCATCCCGCTCTTTTCCTTCTTCCCTTGCTCTTACAACCATCCTAGCCCTTCGTTCGGCTTCTTCCTGTTCTTCCAACTGTTTCACCAACGCCCTTTTCTTCTCCAAAATCTCTTCTTTCTGCTTCCTCAGCTTAGCTTGTCTCCTGAGAGCAGCGAATCGACTTGTATACTTTTCCACGGTCTCTCCAAGAAGTTCTTCATACTCGAACCTTTGTGCTTCAAGCCTCTCTTTCTCCTTAGCTTCCTTTACGTTCGTTGCAGGCCTGTCGATTTGGTGGACGACGCGGGCGATGCGATCTTGTAGGTTGATGATATTTGTTTCTAATATCTGGATTGTTCGATCGCTTCCTTGTGGTAACTTTACTTCAGCCAGAAAGTCTCGTATGGAATGCAGATCCATTCTCGTCGCGTTCTTGATGGCTTTACCAGCTTCTGGAATATCCTCAGCCTTTTGCAGTGGCTCCAGCTGAGATAGCTTCTCCGCAGCAGACACAGGCGAGGTAGAGAAGGCTCGAACAGTGGTTGAAGGGGGTTGAGACACGATATTCAGATAGGGCAGTGGTGAGCTGGGTATGCGATGTCGTGCCAGCAAGGCATGGGGGTTGTCGAATGGTCTTCTCCGTAGTACAGGCCGCTGGGAGTTCCGGCTCGCTAGAGGCTTGTCATCTAGACAGGGTCAGCAAGATACATCACAGACTGAACTGCCGTAAGCGATGGTAGAATCGGGTATATGATTGGTATATGTAGCCACATGTCCATCTCTAAGCGATAGTGTAGACTCACAATCAAGGAGAACGCTCAGAACGCCAACTATGCAGTGACCGCCGTGGTATCGTAAGGCATCCAACCAGAACCATTGTGAAGGAAAACAGAAAGAGTCCAGATTTACCCACCAATTAAGATCATGGGCCGATTCTCCATGTTGGCCAGATCATCCAAGTCGGCGTGCTTTTCCGCTTTGCGTTTGACGGCAGCACCAACAACGTCAAGGAGTTCGCGCTCGCGTTGGCCCCAGCCAAGGATTGTCTCATCGCTCAAGCGGCCTTCGTGTCGGTCCATCTCAATCTGCCTGATGCGCTCAAATGCTTCCTGGTCAATGGGCTCGCCATTGTTGCCCTGTCGCAGAACGTCGCGCAAAGACACCTCGGCGTTACCGTGTAAGCAGACTTTCAGATTGCCGTCACTCGTTATTCGTAACCGATTGCACGTCCCACAAAAGTCATTTGTCATGCTCGTGATGAAGCCGACCTTGCCCACGAAGCCTGGCACCTCGTACGTCTTACTGGTGTCGTTCTTGTGTCCTGGCACCGGCCTGAGCCCCGGATATTTGGTCCTGATGATATCCAGCATCTCCTGGAAGCTGATCATCTTGTTCTCACTCCACTTGTTTCCACCAAAAGGCATGTACTCGATGAAGCGTACTTCGATGTCCTTTTCGCGGCCCATCTCGACAAAGGGTAGAATCTCGCGCTCGTTCAACCCCCGCATGACGACGCAGTTAACCTTGAGCTTGACGTTGGCGCCTAGTTTGTTCATCTCCAGTATGCGATCAATCGACTTCATGACAGCATCGAAGCCTTTCCGCCGAGTCATGATCTGGAACTGGAACGGGTCTAGTGTATCCAGACTGAGGTTGACGCCAGTCAGACCCGCTTCCACCACTGCGTCCAGCTTCCGGTGTAGCGAGATGCCGTTGGTTGTGAGTGCGAGTTCGCGCAGGCCTTTCGGGCGCAGACTGCCGATCTGCTGCATGAGCGGGACGATGTCGCGACGGACGGTGGGCTCGCCGCCAGTGAGGCGGATCTTGGTGACACCCTGTGAGACGAATAGCGAGGAGAGGTAGAAGATCTCGGGTGTGGTAAGCATGTTGGCCGACGGAGACAGTGGTATGCCCTCTGCTGTTTGTTAGCAGCGTCCTTTGCTGTGTAAGCGTACCAATCGCACCTTCTGGCATGCAGTACAGACACCGCAGATTGCATCGCTCTGTGATACTGATCCGGAGATAGTCATGCTGCCTATTGAACGTGTCCGTCAAGAAGTCGGAGAAGGGTTTCGCATTCTTGATCGCTTTCCTCCGGGCGTCTCCACTCGAACGTGACGGTACCGCAACCGGTGGAATCCCCGCGGGAAAGTCGACATTCGGCTCCTGGGTCGCCGCGTTGGTCGCAACGCCTCTTGTCTGTAATGCGCTTATTGACGGTTGTCGTAGATAATTGCCACAGCCAGCAACTCGTCGCACCGCGGCCGGGCCCGCCCGTATCCTAGCCATCTGCGCCATTAGGAGGAGTCGAGTTTGTAAAAGCCTCGTCCAACATTGGGAGGGGCGCACATGGGGAGTTATATACGCCAGAGAAGGGTAGGGCGGAGATGACTGAGATGTGACATGCGGCAGATGCTTTAGGTGGGCTGTCCGAGCCGATTACAGGGATCTGCTGCCAAGTGCGGCGACCTTACTAAGATACCCTCAGCAAGGGTGGGGTAGGCAAGTGTATCCAAATCAGTCTAGATCTTGAGCCTAGGTGGTCCTGATAGCCCTTCTGCTATTTATCCCTCAGACGCTCCGTGGACATAGGAAGTATGATGTCTGTTGATAATTTCACGGAACAGTTCCGATGGTTCCGACAGTGGCCAAAATGGCACATGCACACTACAGCATCCTTGTCCAACATGGGAGTCTTGGGCATTTTCCATGTTCTCCATCACCCACGCGTTTTGTGGATATACAAAACGTGCCAGGCTTACTAGAGCGGCCCGCGGACATGTGTCTTGACACGACCGCAAGCTGTTCTATACAACCAGTGCCCCTCTTCACGCCCTACCACTACCTTGGCCTAGCATCGTCCTGTTTCTATTCGCGTCATCATTCTTGTTCCTACTTTCCCGCCCCTCTCTCTCATGGAAGAGCTCCCGAAACCTACTCTTACCCTTTTCTGTTGGAAAGATTATACACGTCGGCCTATCAAAACTGTGTTCACTGTCTGGGGAGTTGTATAGGTCGGTACCACGTCTTGCTCTGAAAGGAATATCCTGCGTTCCAAGGCGTGAAAGGCTGTTAGTCGGCGAACTGTCATGAAAGGCCTTGACTACTGGTGATTGTGCCAGCTCGCGGACAAGATGTGGATGCCACTTCACGCAGTTCGGACATGTCCGTTGTAGACAAGGCTGTTGGTATGTAATACTGTTTTGCCACTTCCCTTTCTGCTGTCGATGTGGTCCGCCGTAGTGAAATTGGTGCAGCTTTGCTTTGCAGGACGTGGGCTCATTGTGTGAGCTATTGTGCTTTCTTCGCCTTACTTGACGAGCTTGATAGCCGTGGGAGCTGGTGGAAGTCGAAGTATCAGTCTTGGCTTCGAAAACGGTCTATTTGATCTGTGGAAATGGGCTTCAGGCTGATAGTCGTTCCATATGTGCTTTGGTATTCTTATCTTGAGACCCATCTAGCCCAAGAAGCTGTGGCACTTGACTAATGTGGGATTCTGGTGTAGAGAGCGCCCAGTGGCAGAACTACTTGCTGTTCTTCCTGCTGTGATGTCGCAATTAGTTGTCAGCTAGATGTTTATAGAACTGTTTGCTGGTCACCGACAGCTTGTACTTACGCAACAAGCGAGACATTGTGAAGAAGGCGTGACTTCTGCAGCAGAGTTGTTCTAAATAGATGAAACCAGGTTCATTGTCTAACAAACAATTGGGTGGGCATGACCTCGTCTAGTGCCCCTTCTAATAGTGTGTCAATGTCAATGGATAAGTACATTGCGATGCTGCAGATGTGCTCCTGATGCGATGCTGAAGGTCAAATGCTGAATGCCAGTATGAAATACGCGCTAAACAGCGACATCTACTCGTAACACTGATCCCAAAGGCCACCGCTCCTTGCAAAGCTTTGGCTGTCTACAAACTTACTCAACGTACACCTGCCATGCTTGTCACCACCACAGAAGTCCAATGGATGTACGCGGTCGTTAACAATGACACGAACTGACTCTTCCTTCTCGTGCTTACACTGCAGCTTCTCCACGTAGAGACGTGCTGCAAATGGCACGCTCCATGCTGCCGAATAACCATGTGTCTTCTTTGTATCCTCGATAGTGGTGTTCGATAACGGCTTCGTTCTGTTGTACAGGCCGAGCGCAGCCAAAACACCACTAATGTCATTATCGTGGCTGAAGTCGGCGTATACCTTGCGGTCGAGGGGGAATGTCTTGGGATCGGAGTCTAGGGTGCGATTCGTGTTGGTGTTGTCGTCAACAGGCTTGTTCGTTAGTCGCGCCAGCAGTTCATTGACGTATCCAACGCCCTGAGTCGGACCAAGCGGGTTGCCAACGCCGTAGCCGTAGAACTTGCCCAGTGTCTGGAAGTAGTCGTATTCACGCCACTCCTTTTCGGTAAAGATTCTGCAGAAGTCTGACATCTTGGCTGACGGATGCGCCAATGTATCAAATGGGCACATGTCCATCAAGTACACGATGGACGTGGCGCTGAGGTTCGTTCCAAGAGCAGAGTTGATGCGCTGTTGGATCGGCGGCACAAACTTGTCAGCCCAGACATGCTGCGCCCTATCCCCGAGACCATGATGTGGACCGCCCTCAAATGCTGGACAGATGTCGTGGGAGAGAGTATTGTTCCAATTCGGCCCTTCTGGAATCACCACATCGATCTTTCGCGGCTCTTCCTTAAGTGATTGCGCGACACCCGCAAGCCACCTCTCAGCTGACTCAACTACACGGTGTTGTCCGCCCGCGCGTACGAATGGTACGTTGTCGTCGATGAGCTTCTGGTAACGGCGGTAGAAGTGAGCTCCTGAGTTGACCATTTCCTGCCTCCCAGCATCCGTCAGCTCATCCGCACCCAATGTATAATCGTAATCCTTCAAGAATCTGAACTCTTTCGGATACGATGTGCTCGTGTTTTGGATGTCTGCGATCAAGATGTGGTAGGCGAGGGTTTTCCCCAGAGTGGGATCGCGGCCGCCGTGGCGGGACAAGACGTTCGCGAAGGTGATTTCGCAGCCCTTCGGAGGCGCTACGTTGATGTCCGAGGGTACGGAATACCAAAGCGAATATTGACCCCAGGAGTGGCTCGTCTTCGGGCTACAGCGGTAGCCTTCGTTGACGCTGTCACAGGACTTGTTGGTGGAGACATTAAGGAGGCTTTAGAGCGTCAGCTTTGGACCATTGAGAGGACTGATGCTTCATACTTGGAGGCTCCGTATAGAACTACGCATGCGCCGAGTGCTCGTAGAACCCATATGCCCAAGCCTTTCGACCGTTGGTCGCGTCGAGATCTGTGCGAAAGAGGCTCCTTCTCGCTCAACGGCAGAGGCGCATAGTCTTGGGAACGAGGGCCACGCATCCTGTTCCAGGGCTTACTCATCTAGAGAAGTAACGGCAATGATATCCACGAGTCCGCGAATTGATACGATGAAGTGACAAAAATTCCAAGTTTACCTCTGGAGTACGTGTCGGTGTTGGAATGTCGCGTAGCCGCGGTGACGTATGCGCCCATCATGGTGTTGTCGGCAGAATCCGAGGACGCCAAGCTCGAGCGCAAGAGCATCCACGAAAGTCAACCACCACCGCACTCCGTCCTTTTCACTTGCATCGCGTTGTCATCTGATCGCGTCACCTATCGATACAGCCATGTTGAAAAACGCCCTTGACGCGCAGTAAGGGGCTAGATACGGTCGCGTCCGTAGCCGATGGCGGCTTTCGGTCTTGCATGCAATTGCGCGATGTAACGCCGTTTCGTCAGCTAGAGATAGACGCGAGCGTGGCCTATGATTGGCGTTTACCCCATGTTTTCGGTCAAAGTGGAGACCGTCATCAGGGCGTCTTATCTATGGATGAACCACAAGTAAGCTTTGACAAGCTTCAACCACTAGGCTGGACATGCCCTATCCGTATCAGCCGACGTCAATGGCGGCATGCCTAACGACACAGCATCCGCGCGTTCTTCGGGGTCGCATCGTCAGGCCAAGGATTATATAGAGTCCGTCTCCTCGTCTCTCGTTCCGTAGACATCGAGTCCCTGTCTCGTCAATTCATTCGCCGCCTGGATACGCCACCATGAAGCCCGATGAGCGACATACACTGGATGACGAGGCCCAATTGCAGGCTCTCGGCCACAAGGGTGAGCTGAAGCGCAACTTCAGTCTCCTGTCTATGCTTGGGCTTGCTTTCGCCATCTTGAACTCGTGGACGGCGCTTTCATCGTCAATCGGACTAGCTCTGCCTTCCGGTGGCTCAACCAGCGTCATATGGGGACTCGTCACAGCTGGTATATGCAACTTGTGTCTGGCCGCGTCCCTGGCCGAATTTCTATCAGCATACCCCACTGCTGGTGGACAGTAAGCATCTCCGAGCGGTGTTTCTATTGTCAACTCACAGTGTTGCAGATATCATTGGGTCGCCGTCATTACCCCGCGGAAATGGGTTCCACTCGCGTCTTTCATTACTGGGTGGATCAATGTATCCGGATGGCTTGCACTGACTACTTCCGGAGGTTTACTAGCGTCTCAGCTCATCTCTGGCCTAATCGCATTATACCATCCCGACTTCACGCTGCACCCATGGCAGGTCTGGCTGATTTATGTCGCTTGGACGATCATCGCCTTCATCATCAACGCCTTTATGAACAACCTTCTGCCTTACGTCAATCGTGGCGCTTTCATTTGGTCAATCGGCGGTTTTGCGATTGTCTGCATTACCGTCCTAGCTTGCTCATCCCCGGAATACGCGTCTGCAGAATTCGTCTTCACCGAATTTATCAATGAGACGGGCTGGCCGGACGGTATTGCTTGGCTTCTGGGCTTGCTCCAAGGTGGTTTTGGGCTTACCGGTTACGATGCAGTCGCACATATGATCGAGGAGATTCCGAATGCTGCGGTTGAGGGGCCAAAGATCATGATCTACTGCGTCTGTATTGGAACAGTAACTGGCTTCATCTTCCTCATGGTCTTGCTATTTGTCTCCGGTGGCGACGCAGAGTCCATCATCTCAGCAGCGCCAGGCCCCTTGTTACAGATCTTGTATAATGCTACAAGCAGCCGAGCTGGAGCAGCATGTCTACTAATGTTCCCATTGGTTTGCATTCTCTTCGCAGAGACTGCCATCATGACCACCTCTAGTCGCATGACATACGCATTCGCTCGGGATGGCGGCCTTCCATTTTCCAAGTTTTTCGCAAAGGTGCACCCACGCCTAGGTCAGCCGCTCAACGCCCTAATTCTGGCTGCGACTTTGACTATTCTCTTTGGATTGATCTTAATCGGATCGAGCAGCGCTTTCAACGCTCTTATCTCAGCATCAGTTGTTGCCTTGGGTGTGAGTTATGCGATACCCGTTGCGATCAATGTCTGCCGTGGTAGGAAGATGCTCGGACCCAGAGCCTTTGTTTTGCCTGGACCTTTCGGCTGGATTGCGAACTTGATTGGTATCGCATACACTATCGTCACTACTGTTCTCTTCTTGTTCCCGCCTGAATTGCCCGTCTCAGCTTCGAGCATGAGTAAGTGTTTTTTGCCGATTACATGTATTATGCTAACTAGTCCAGACTACTGCGTCGTCGCCTTTGGTATAATCCTGTTCATTAGCACCTTCCAATGGTTCGTAGATGGACGCAAGAATTTTACTGGCCCTCGAGCAGATGTGGGCCTCGAAGTCTTGGAAGCCATGAAAAGCCATGAGCCAACCGACGCTACAGCTCAACATTCCAAGGCTGTCGATGGGGGGAAAGACTTACATGAGATGGAAAGGTAGGAACTACTACAAACAGCAACATAATCTATGATTCTATGTCCCTAGGCGCTACTCTTCCAAGTTTACATCATGGCCTAGACACGGTCATGCGCCTTGGCCACATAGCCAGTGAAAGTGCAAATTAGGCCCAGCCTTTGTCATTGAAATCATCCTCCGCGCCATTATATCAACACAACCTTTCACTTCGCTTGGCACTGTGACAGTACCGATGCCCCACGCTCTCCTAACTATATATACCATTCTCCGTTCACAGCCTTGTTCCACTTGCACCACCTCGTAGAACGGGCTAATCATCCATCGAAGCCTTACTTCAACACATCGAATAACCAAAAGCGAATAGCAAATATGCTTAGCACCTTTCGCAGACTCATTAACTATTGGGGTAGCGCGAATGCCCCCGGGAAGCCTGACGATATACCGACCAAGGCGGCGTCTTCCCAAATTAGTAGTTCGCCATCAACGTCAAATAGCAATTCCGATCCAGCATATCGCGCTGCCTTCAACTCTGGAGCCCCTCTTATGCAGTTTGCGAAAAGGGTGCCACATGCGCAGCCGTCTTCCAGCGCTCCTAATTCAGCGCTGTCTGGATATCTCTTCTCGCGTGTCAAGGGAACAGGCACCTCTAACATTAACGATATCCCGCCACCACAAGTTCCCCTATATGCCAAACCAGTTACGACCCCCGCTGGCCAGAGAACTAAAGACCGCTCTACCGAATCTGAGGATATCGACATGCCCGATGCGGACTTCCGGTCACCTCCGACACCTTCAACAACACTACCTGGTGGGGACGACGCCCACCATCTATCGAACAAATATTCACAAGACAACGGAAAAGACATAGCAGCTGAAAGTGTTTCGAGCGGGCCATCCGACACCGTTTCGTCAACATCAGTCCACCGCAGCAGCCGCCCTCAATCGATCCCAGTGCGTCAACAAGACCGCCAGCAAACACCCATCACACCACAAACTAAGAAAAGCTGGGTCGACGACATCGTCATCGAAGAAGACACACCTGAGAACAATCTCCCCGTCGGCTACCTTGGCACTTTCCGCCGCTCGCGTCACTTCATTCCAGAATATCCAGGCATGCTACCTTGCAGTCATAACACCAAACATCTCCTCCTATGCGGCCACTGGGTTTCCAGTTCCGAGCCATGTGGTAGCAACTGCAAAAAGCAGAATCATGCCGAAAAGCCCTTCAATTGCCCAACATGTCAAGAGATCGTTCGCGAAGTCCTCACCGGATCGATCCTCTCAGCGTTCGAGTCGATACGGTTGAGGAAACTAGAGGAAAAGGGCAACAGCATAGTTTATGTGTCTTGTTGTGTCGAGCAAGTCGTCCGCGCTGCACCCCAGATTAAGACCGGCATCACCGAGGCTGTAGCCGGACTTCTCTTGGAAAATTATGGACGTAAATGTGAGCAGGCAGACAAACCAGATCCTGAGGGACTCGAGACAATCGAGTGGATTGTGAGAGACATGCAAGAGCGAACTGAGCGCAAGCAGCGCGAGAGATTCGCTCAAGAGAACCCTCTCAACACACACGACAAACGCAAGAGCTATGAAGATGCGACGAATCTGTCTGTTAATGAGGTCAACCTTGGAACAGACCGCTCAGCTGCTCATGATGAGCAGCCACGAGGTAGTTCCTCCACGGGCGAAGACGACAAGCAAGATGCATTGTCGGCCAGCCACAAAAGGCAAAAAACGAAGCTAGAGACCCACCGCGAGCCCACGACACCCCAAAGCCGCGGCACGAAGCGCCCTTGTCCGTCCACTTCCGCCTCAGGTGAAAACATGTCGCCATTCACCTCCGTCGCTGGCAGTAAGCGTATCAAAACACCCATGGAGAAGGTCTACACTCCGCCTTCCTCTACGTTTGGTGAGGCTAGTTTTCCCTCTCCAAATGCCAGTGTTGTTGGAGCTATGAAGCGGAAGCATCGGAATGATGTAGACATGAATGGCGAAGGTGATGTTCGAATGGAGAGTGGATTTAAGAGATGTAGAGTTGAGATTTGGCGGGCTTCGCAGGAGCGAGTGAAGATGCAGATGTCAAGATTCGCTGGATTTGCAGCAGCATGGGATGAGGACAAAGATGATTCTTAAGGGTGCATACTAGAAGGTTGGAGGACTTGGAAGAGCCTGGATAGGTCTGGTATTGTCGAACTCCGAGCTCTCGTAGTCCAGTTCAATTAAGTGTTGCCTGCGTCACGTAATGGATCGTCCTCTTGCAGGGCCGATGACAAGATTGAATTATGGAGTGGATGCTAATCAAAGTTCGCCATTGCTTCACAACACGCCTAGACCACATTATCGTGACCTGCCGGAATTATGTCCCTCGATAAAAGCTAGATAGGCCCGAATATGTTGTGGCACGCGATCAATATTCTTAGGCTTGTGATGTTACAAAGTATGGAACGGAACCACATGCGGTCCCGTTGCACAAGGTCGCATATACACTTGAGCACACCAACTGCGACTGAGTCTTAGTTGTAAGATTGTATACCCAAGATAAGGCTTGTTGCTCTCAAGCAATGGCTAAATAAACAATAAGAGCGATACCCTTGACTACCTAGGTATGACGGCCACAGGGATAACATGACGTCACCACCCTTCCTAAGGTGACACAAGTGCTCACTTCAATCTCCGATTACTCTTCACGCGCATCACCAGAGGTAGTTGCGAGCGAGAATCACTGTTACATCCGCAATCGTCCCAGGTACATGCCCTGTAGCTGAAGTAGCTGTTTGCATATGCTACCCACTATCCTGCGTTCAAACACGATAATCCAGACTGCGCGTTTGACGAGCATGGTGGAAACACCAACGCGATGTCCGACACGCCACATCCATATCTGGTCGCGTGCGACAGCGATCGGTCCTGATGGATTCCCAGAGTAAGACGCAGAAAAAACTGGGATATGAGAGCTACAAGGTGATGAGGTCAACCAAGTATGAAGTTTCCTTGTACGTGAGTCTCAGCCCCAATACCGCTATCTAATTGTGTAAACCTCTAACCAAAGATCATAGCAGTGAGCGTTCTCGTACATGATCGCGTCTCGCGTGTTCAAACACCGATCGCCGCTCGCGCCTCCAATACTCCGATGATTCACACCAAAGCCGTCGTCGCAAAGTTCACTGCAAGATCAGCAATCAACAATCAGCCATTGGCCTTCGTCCTCGACGCGGGCTAGCCACATCCCTTCGGCATGCCCTTCTCAACCCGAACACAAGCAGAACCCGCGAATGCTGAGGGTCTGTCAAGCGCCATCCCGCACGCCATCTAGCGGGCCCAGAGAATTCACGTTCGGTACAGACTTGGGTAGGGATTTAGGGCCGGGTATGGGGACGGTTCGGAGATTGGGTAGAACCTCAGTATGCGGTAAGCTCACGGCGATCGTTGCAGTGATGTACATCTAGTGTTCCCGCTAACCCACATATAGCGACCACACCGCAAATCCTACACCCCCGCCAAGCGGGGCTGGGTGGCAGACTTGATGTTGTGTTAGACTCCACGAACCACCAAGCTTGCACAATTCGCTGAGTTCGGCTTGCTAGGAATGTGCCAACCTTAATGGTTTTGTCTGCAACATCTCGTCTGGGGTGCTTGCCGTCACGATAGTGCATGCAAGCAGTTAATACGATATATCATACCTCAAACGAGCACCTAAGATCTCACACTTCTAATCCGCCCCATTCCAGGTGACCTTCATGCAGGTTTCGGCGCAGGCGATTTGCTTTATACTTTGTTCGGCAAGGGTTCATCTGGACGTGTTGGTGTGGGTGGGTGCCCGATGCTTCTCATTGGCTCGCATTGCTCTGACAGTCGCTCGCGTGCAGTCAGCCTATGCCACGAAGGAGACATGCAACAGTACTCGGAGACCAACAGGTACGGTGAACTATCGTTACCGGGTCCCCAGTTGACCGTCGGCCGGTGAGGGCAAAAGCAATCCTGGTACACGATGTCGTCTGGTAGTGTTTGGACTAGCGAAAAGAAGAAAGTAACATGGATAAGAGAACGTCTTTGTGTGTATGGAAATCAATATGAGTTCTATAAGTTCGTAGCAAGAACTAGACCGCGATATAGATATTCACTCCCATCGTCTCTGCCATCTACCGAAAACACTTCGAAGTCTTGGCTGCTCAGTCCACCATCACTCGGCTTTCTAGTATACGGTTGCAACATCTGCATCTTGCTATGGTGTCGTTTGCCTATGCGTTTCTATTGGCCATTGGTCTACTAGTGGCAAAGGTAATCGCCTGGAAGCCATCAATCTTTCAGGACAACGACTGACGATAATAGTTCCTCTATGTTGGCCTTACGTGCCCCACGAAGCATTTACCCGGTCCTTGGTATACTCGCTTCACGCATTACCGTCTGAAGCGTGCCGTAGTAACAGGACAACGTATCTTTTACATTGACTCCCTTCACGAGAAATATGGGCCCATCGTGCGACTATCTCCCACCGAAGTCGCCGTTGCCGACCTGGATGCCTTCAAGGAGATTCACAAGATTGGTACCAAGTACATGAAGAGCGAGTGGTATCTCCGTCTGGCCAACTTCCCTAAGGCTGGCGTTTTTACTATGCTTGACCCACGTGAGCATGGACCTCGAAGGAAGCTCTTGTCGAGATCCTTCAGCAGAACCTACCTCGTTGAACATTGGGAGTCGGTGGTAAGAGACAAGGCACTCATGGCCGTGACTAAGATCAAAGCCGATGCTATGCAAAGCACCGCCGATGTCTACAACTGGTGGATGCTTCTCGCATCAGACGTTAGTGCCCACCTTGCATTCGGAGACTCATTTGGCATGTTAGAGTCAGGACATGTAAGTAGTCACAGCGATAGACACTTGACGCACCAGCTAACGGGCCACAGCAAAACCAATTCATGCGTGTGCTCAAGAAGTTGACAATGGGTGCGGGTATCATGGTCGAGATGCCTTTCCTCCGCCTCCTGCGCTTCGTTCCCGTTCCTGCAGTACAAGAGATGTTCAACGCCAACGAGTTCATTCTTGCTGGCGCAGGCAAAGCCGTAGAAACAGCACGATCGCGCACTGGCGAAAACAACATTTTTGCCAAGGTCATTGAGGACTGCGAGAAAGAAGGTGAGGGCCATATCGATGACATGGACGTCAGAATCGAAGCCATGAACGTCATCATCGCAGGTACCGATACTACGGGTGTTACTCTAACCTACCTCACGTGGGCCGTGCTGCAACGACCCGAGTTGCAGGCGGCGCTTGAGGCTGAGACTGCGGCGTTGGAAGAGGGCTTCACGGAGAATGATTTGATCAAGCTGCCATTGCTTAACGCTGTTATCGAGGAGACGCTTCGATTGTATGGTGCTGCGCCGAGCAGTCTGCCGAGAGTTGTACCTCAGGGTGGTACCAAATTCGCTGGACATTATATCCCACAGGGTGTGACGGTTGACACCCAGGCGTATACCTTCCATCGCGACCCTAAGATTTGGAGTGATCCTTTGACGTAGGTCGCTTCGCCGTCTCATACTGGATATCATCAGCTAATGCTCATAGTTTCAACCCACAACGCTGGATCGCCGACAAAGAGGGTATGGTTGCAGAGGCTCAATCACCCGCCGCTAAGCTCGCGTTTCATCCTTTCGGTGCTGGTGCACGATCGTGTATCGGTATCCATCTGGCGCGCATGGAACTGAGATATGCTGTTGCATTCTTCTTCCGTGACTGCAGAGGTATAAGGTTGGCCGAATCAACAACGCCCGAGAGTATGGAGTTTGAGGTAAGTCTGACGTGAAGGCTGTACATGTGGAATGCGCGCTGACGTTGATAACAGAATTTCTTCCTAATTGCACCAAAAGCGCATCGTTGTGAGATCACATTCAAGCAGGGCATATAGGGTGAGAATGGCTGGCGGAGCACTATAGTAAGATATAGTTGTTACCATAAATGATACTTGTTCATGATCCGACGAGTTAAACTTGTATTGGTCCTATTTGTAGGCGCTGTGAAAACCTTACTTAGATCTACGTCATGGTCTAATCGCCAAATAACGTCTTCGTATCCTGATCGAAACTTCTAGGAAATTAGCAGGCACCCTCATAAGTAAACCTGCGAAAGACTTACCCAGAACCTACAAGATGCTGCAAACGACGCCGTGCTTTCTCTTACCATCTCTCTTCTCCGCTAGCCTGTTCCAGTCCGTCTTCTCAGTCATACCCCGATGATCCTTCCACGCCCTCTGACTTGGGCCCTCCTCATTGGCGCTAGCCTCGCTGTAATAATAGTGGAAGTCCTCGGCCTCTTGCTGCTGCCTCTGAGCCTCTCTTGAACTGAATAACGCTTCGTCTTGCTCGAACTGAGCGAAGTCGGCCTTACGATGAGTCTGATCATGGTCAGGGACAGAGGTGGTGACACCGTCAGAGAAGAGGCCTGAGGATCAGTGCACAAGATCAGAATATTTCTCGATTTCAGTTCTTACAGACTCTTACCGGATGTAGTAGTGGCAGCGACAGGCATTCTGGTAGCCGCAGGCTCGGCAACGGGGGAGGCCAGGGCAACAGTGGCCACGGTGACCACCAAAGGGATGATGGAGTTGTGCATTTCTAGAACGATGTATAAAGAGACTATGTCGGTAATTTTAGTGATGGATTGCTGAGCTAAAACGATGACTAGGATAGGCATAGATGAGGGTCGTGCTCGCGAATTATGAGAAAAGATGGTGAGGCGAAGTGTCTCTAGTCTGGTACTTTGGAAACAACACTGTGATCAGGCTTATGTATTGTTCAAAATCTTCATCGTCTTTAGGATGAAAAAATAGGGTCCGGAGGATGTGGCGATACTTTGTGCGCCATTTACAGCAAGAATTGGAACCATATGGCCACAGTAATCGCGGTGTAGCTGATCTGTGCGACAGCATCTTTTTGATATTTCTATCCGCACACGTGGGCTGGACGACAAAGAATCGAGTTTGGTAACGAGAAAAACCAGGTTTCTTATCCGTCGATCCAACGCCGGGGAAAGCCGTCCAATGGTTGGAGAACGATATGACAGCTCCTATATAGTAGCTTCTCTTATCTGCATCACCATTATGAAATCCCATCACTACTACGTGCACTTTACAACTAAGTTCGCACATTTCCAGATTTTCGGCTTTGTTGGGTATGGAAAAGTACTCAATGGATCGGAAGCGTGGTTCAGGCAGTTTTGATTCCTTTTCTTCTGACTCTGGCCAACAATTCTCAAGTCATGGCGGATTTTAGCCTCAAACTTCCATTCTTTGAATCTCTAAATGGTACCCCACATTCTGGAATAGAAGGTGCCGTCCATCCGTTGACACGTGGAGCGGTAGATCCAAGAAAATCGCATGTTCCCGAATTTTGACGAAGGCATGGTCAGTGACTTCGTGGCCACTTACTTCGACGTGTTCAATAACTGGACACCATGTTTCTTTCAATCGTGCAAGATCCTGAAGATATGTCGCGTCTAGATCTGCGAACTGGCAGCGTTGCAGCTTCAATAATTTGAGTGACACCGGTAGATCACCGAGCTTAACGAGCTTCTCGAATTCGATCGTCAGGTGCGACAAATGCTCAAAGTCGCGAAATGAGGGGCAGATATAGTCATCTGGGCCCACACCAGTCTCCCACAGGTCTTGCTGAAAATCTGGATCACCAAGGTCGTAGTAGTAACGAAAGTCCAAGTGCAGCGTCTCTAAAATCCGCCGATGGTTTTCTAGTAGCGCTTTCACCATATCTCGAGGGCAAACCAGTGGTTGGTAGGCTACGTCCCACATCATGCAATCATGGCGCCTCCCGTCTGGAATGATGAGTTTGAAGACGGTTAAGCGTGGACATGCGTACAAGAGTGCCTTCATGATAGAGAGCGATCCCAAGCTCCAAAACAGTTCAGCTACTGTGTGTGTCACTGTGTTAGTAGCAGGACGCTCGCCTGTTATGTCTGATACATCGCTCTCGGTTGTGAATCTTTCGAAGGCAGGGTAATGCATGAGGGGAATAAAGTCTTCCAGATTGATTGGTCCCTTCTCATATTGCTTGTGCCTGCAGATCTTTGAGTCAGCAAAATCTGCAGCTTGGGCCTGAATGCAGGTGCTGAGTCGCTAAGCAGCTTCTATGTTCTGTAGGTGTACTTACAAGTGGAACGTCTTCAACTTAGCAAGGAATGAAGTGTCGGTATCTCTCTTCTCGTGCATGTGTTTTAGCAGCGCGCGTGGAGGTTCGATCTGCGCTTCAAGGTGAACATGTTGGACGTTTGGCACTCGGGCAAGAACGTATAACGCAAGCGGTTTGTAGCAGAGTTCCGGTTCGATCTCACCATCATGCCCTCCTATCAATGTTGATAACCTCATGAATGTGTCATCGCGTCCAAGGTCAGGCCACTCGTAGCGTATTCCTCGGTCGTTGAATAAAATCAGCTCTCGCGTCTTATTTGCTAGCTCGGGATATTCTATCGAAGTTTCGAGGAAGAGCTTGAGAGATTTCAAAGGGTCTGCCACTGGCTCTGCCAATTGCACACAAGTGTAAAGCGCCGGTCGCGCGACAGATACTAGCGTGCGGGACGTTCGACATAAGCTCAGTAAGGCTCCAACATCGGATGCATCGCCCGATGTGAAGTATGCAACAATGGAAAGTAAGATCTCATTAGAGAGGTCCGTGAGTTTGGCCATCGTCTGATGCGAAGTCGCGATGGGAAGTAAGCTCGTGGCAAAAGGTGCGTTAGCCTGGTGACGGCGACAATGCCCGTCCAGGCTCGCTTCCAGCTCCGTAGGCAGGGCTGGCTAGCCCCCGGCCACTCAAGGTGTCCGCACCCCTAGTCTCATCACGCCTCATCGCGCCTCATAACTTTCGCGAGAACAAAACACGTATGATCCCAGTAAAACCAAGCATATCGTTTCGGGTAAGCAGATAGCTTTGCACTTCTCATTGCTATAGCATCTAATCATGCTATTAAGATTGATCAACAGGCGCGTCGGCCTATCATCTGTCCGACCACTGTTGCTCGGGAAGCGATCTTTATTTTCCAATCAGTAATCGTAGTTTACAGTACCACCACTGTGTATGGTAACGATGCTCCGATCATACCACATCCCTAGACACCGCGGTGTTCCCCATGCGTTTCTGCACAAGCAATGGGCACTTTGAAATTAGCTATCAAGCTACAAGTGAAAGTTTAGGATCGGCCGGGACCATGATTAGAAAATCATTCTGGAGGTCCTCTTGTCATATATAGACCAAAGTGCGGAGGCCTAGACAGTGATCACACCTCTCACAATCACCAGCTCTGATCAGAACTCCATTCGACCAACAAAATCCGGCATCCGCAAGAAAGAAAATGAGGTGGTTCACTTCTTTTACCGCCCTGATCGGCGCATCAAGCGTGGCCGCGTTTCCTTCCGGACTGGCTGTCAGGTAAGCCTACTACGAGAATGTCGAGGGAATATCCGAATGGAAGATAACAAGGCCATATAGTGGATGTCGAGAAGTTGCTCTAATTGACCCTCCGGCCAAGTTGGTCTAAGTCGTCCCGACCAAATACGTTGACGTCAATGGCGACCAAATCGCGTACCGGGTTTTTGGTGCGGTCACAGCACTGGCGAGATCGGCGACTCTATCGCGGCCCAGGGTGACACAGCGGTTGCCTTCCTGAAGGCTATCAAAGTGAAAAAGGGCAACTTGCTCGGTTTCTCTATGGGAGGCGGTGTTGCGCAGCACATTGCCATCAACTACCCTGACCTTGTGGAGAAGGCTGTCATCGCTGGATCGATTGTTGGAAATGGGCCTGGTATTGAACTGGCCACGGATGCGACTTTTGCTATTGCTCGCCAGCCTGTAGTTCCCCAAGATCAAGGCCTGGGCTTGTTCTTCTACCCTTCCAACACTAGCACGGCTGCAGCTATCGACTACGCTAATCGCATCACCGAGCGGAACGTGCCAGGCGAGAACAAGACGAACCAAGTGCAAGAGCCTGGCACCTCTAGACACCTCAAAGCTATCCTCGACTTCACCCGGAACTCCACATACCTGGAGCAAGCGAAAAATATCAAGGCGCCGCTTTTTATTACCTCCGGAACACGCGATGTCTTAGCACCTTCCTCTGGCGACTTTGTCCTCCAGCAAAAGGTTCCTGGCTCCTATTTGCAAGTCTTCCCAGACTCCGGACATGGTCACCTCTTCCAGTTTCCAAAGGCTTTCTCCGAACTAGTGCAGGAGTTTCTAGGCGCCTGAAAGGTGTTGAATGTATGATAGTAGACGAACAGTGGTTTTTACGGTTCTATATAAGTAGGTCTATTTACATCCTAATATATGAGTGATTTTTACATGGAGGCCTTTGCAAAGGAGTGGTAGTTGTCCAGCGGTGCATCCTTCTCCATAAGTTTCCACAGTTGCTCGATTTGCTGCACTGTCTCAGACTTCAAAGGGCCCGCATCAAGTGCTGATAGCGTCTTCTCCAGCTGCGCTGGCCGGCTTGCTCCAATGATGATTGCGTCACCAAGTCCCGCATCGAGCTTGGAGTTGAAGACCGCCCAGCGGTAGGCTAGGTTTACGCCCGAGTCGCCTGCTGACTCCGCAATCTTATTCCATTGCCTCAAGGCTTCGATCACAGTGGGCTTGTTGTACATGGTATTATACATCTTGCCGCCAAATGTCGATGGGTCGAACCTCCCCTCTGCCTTCTTGCTCTCCAAGTCGTCCGGATTCTTGGCGAAGAAGCCACCAGCGAGTGGCGAGTAGGCATAAAAGGCAATACCTAGTTCGCGCAGGATAGGAAAAAGATCTTGCTCAATCGTGCGAGCAAAGGCATTGTAATTGCCCTGGTATACGGAAGGAACAACTCCGCCTTTTGATTTTGCGTACGCATGGATCTTTCGTACATCATCGGGTAGGAAGTTGGAAAGACCGAAGCGCTCGAACTTGCCCTGGCGATGTAGCTCCTGAATGGCATCCACGGTCTCTTCGATGGGGGTTTCGTCATCGGGAGCATGGAGGTAATAAATATCGACCTTTTCGGTTCCAAGGAGTGAGAGGGATGTCTGAATACCATCCTTAAGTGAGGAGCCAGTAAGCGCTCTCGGAGCGAATGCTGGAGATTTGGTGTCAATGATGAACGACTGGGCAGCTTTCACCTCTCCGAGACATTTCTCACTGTCGCCATAGATGCGGGCAGTGTCAATGTTTCGAATGTCTCTGCTCTTGAGGATGTCCAGAAGAGCCTGCAGATCGTCTTTCGTGAAAGATTCGATCTGGTGAGAGCCGAAGACGTATGTTGGGTGAGACATCTTGTGAGAGATACTGAGCTGGTGTTGATAGTAGTGTAGATGGGATGATAGTAATGTCCCGCCTCGCGTGGAGGTGGTCACTTATATATGATGCAGCACACTGCCGAGGTCTCTAAGTCAATACTGAGGAGACGTGACATCAACCAATATCATGACGACTCCCGTCAATATGCTTACTAATAGACTATCTAGCTTCTATAGACTCGATGGACAGCTGCAGCAAACGATCAATAGCTACACCCGCAGCTGGGCAATGCTGATAAATAATGTCGAAGTGCTGTCAGTACGTGGTGAAATCGAGGTACAGTTCATACGTCGTCCCATCGAAATACCGTCGATACGTCATCCAATCGGAGTGATATCGACACGTCTTGCAAGACTGGTCGCAGTATCCACCTCGGGAGTTAGCGCGGCTCCTGATTTCGTCCGAGTGAACTAGCCAAGGCACGCTACCGGTACGTACCGTGCGTGTTGGGTCATCACGCACGACGGCCCAACGCGCATTTCGAACATCAAAACAGCCCTAGAACTCAAGACTGTAACGTACCTGGCCGTTCCATGGACAAGCTGCGCAGACATCTGAGTCGCTCACGTTTGTTAAGACTTCACCAAAACACTCTTGGTCTGCTAACGTGCTTCCAACAGCTCTACTTTACCGCATCAGACGAAAGTGAGATACAGCTTACGTTCTGACCTATCAAGCAAGGCGTAGTCCTATTGAAGCAATGCGCTACAGTAATATAAAGAGTTTTGGAAAGACGATAAAGTGTGGCCGACCCACTTTCCGTGCGCCCAGGCACAAATCTCCGAGTGGACCGCTATTGTAATTGGCTACATCTTTGTTATTCAACTACTATTCGGGAGCTATTCAAAACTCACTTGAGCCATCGCTTCGAACTACTTATCTACATACTTTGCAGTATCCAGAGATCCCTTCGAAGTTTCTTGGTGCAGGATGTAAAGGATAGAATCCTCTAATATGCTGTCCCCTCAGCTGATTAAAGAAGTATGGCCAGCCAGGTGATCCACGATTCTATACAACACGCACGAACCCGTATGACGAGTAACTTTAGCAAGTGCGGCATCTTTGGAGTCACGCAGTCTTCTCTTCCAACTCTCTGCATGTCTTGAGGGAGTGCGCTCAACATCTTTGTCGTTGGCTATCGCGACTCCCATCTTCATCACTCTCATTAATCACCAAACATGATCATCCCCATCGAAAATTACCTGCAGGTCTGGATTCTGGCTTTGTCTGGCGCGTCCATCGCGATAGCTTGGATTGCAGTCATTCTGCGTCTTGTCGCGAAACATATTCGCAGGAAATTCGACTACAGCGATTATTGCATCGTCGCAGCCTTGGTACCATATCATGTTTCCATCTCACAGCGCTCTGTTAAGCTCGAGACGTCGATCGCATATGCCTGGCAACTAGTATCTGTGAGGAAAGCACACCTACTGACACAACCTAGGTCTCACACACAGCGCTATGCGCCAATTGCATCTATCTCGCGTACTACGGCGCCTTCGGTTTTGACATGTACACCATAGTCGCCCGCTTCGGCATCGACGTGCTCTACATCCTCTTCAAAGGCGTGCTAGTCATGACCATTGTTTGGAATATCACTGTCTGTCTCTCGAAGCTATCCGTCCTGCTCACGTACACTTCAATCATACCCAACACATCCATGCTCGTCATATGCCGCTACACGGGAGCAACAATCATCGTTTGGATATTGGTGGATTTGATCACGGCCTTGTCTATCTGTAAACCGCTCGCGCAGGCATGGAAGGATCCGGATAAGTGCACCAGCCAAAACCCGTTCTATTTTTCCCAGGGCATGTTGAACCTCATCATCGATATGGTCATTATCGTGCTGCCGATGCCGTACATATTCCGCCTACGAATGCCGTGGAGTCGCAAAGTGGTTGCGATTGTCATGTTAGGACTAGGCATCGGGTACGTACATGCGACAGACATATTCACGTTTGCAATGAGCTGACCTTAGTTGCAGGACTATAGCTATCACGATCTATCGCCAGAAGCTTCTCTGGAAGCTGGACTTTGGCGACATCCCGAAAACACCGAATATAATCTTCGCCATGATTTTGAGCGAGCTCGAAACCGCGGTCATGATCCTGGTAGCCTGCATACCACTTATGCGTCCTCTGTTCTGGAGGAACGAGGGCCAAAGCCCACCCAACGGTCGTCACAATGCGAACATCTATGTCGAGGGAGGGCGTTTGGAAAGGGGGAACAAGCGTAGAGGTGCGAGGAATCTACAGTTACTTTATCCGCCTTCTTGGTTCGACAACAAGGACGATTCGAAGGTTGCGGCGCAGTCATCGAAGGTGGTGCATGTCGCGGATGTGGCATCTACTTCTGCAACTGAAACATCCCAGGGTTCAAGCTGCTCTAAAGATTCTGTCGTCGATAAGAAGAGATGGGAAGCACCGAAAACATGGCATATATCCACATGATTTGGTGCTAGGTCCAAATCGCTAGATGAGGTGAATTGGCTGGTCCCAAAAAGGCCACTGAATAATAGTCGAAGGCCGTATTCTCTACTGCTTTTTCTCTCACTACCCTAGCACAGTACCTTCCTTGTTCACCAGGGTCAGGCCTTCGAGCTTACCATATGTCTTCACATCTTTAACGACTCCGTTCGCATCCCACCCAAAATCGACAATTCCGCCGCCTCTCAATCTCAATCCTTTTACACTCCCGTCGCTCCAGCTCGTTGGAATCGCAGGACCCAACACCACAGTTTTTCCATCCTCTTCACCACCCACAGCTGTCGGCATGTCCGTGACAAGCATGCTCAGCACGGCGCCTCCAAACCCAAAGTTTGCATCGATCTGGAATGGCGTTTCGATACCGGAATACATACTGAATCCATTTCCAGCAAAGTTTTGCTCGATGGCATACCGGAGCTCATAGTAAGCTTGATCTGTGTCATTCAGTCTGGCCCAACAAGCTGAGCGCCAGACCTTTGCCCATCCGGCATTGGCATCCTGGCCATTACCGTTACCTCGGCTGTACAGTTTCTGTCGGATAGCATCCTGAACGGTGCTATTGGTGTAGCCATCAAGGAAGGAGGAGAGCGAGTAACCGGGGTACCAGCCGACTAGCTCAGAGAGATGGCGATGGGTGTCGTTGATGAATTCCAAACCATATGGCTCTTCAGGAAGCTTCCATTCTTTGATCTGGCCCCACGATCCAACGTGAAACCCTTTATCAAGCCGCTGGAGCGAATCGGTGACATTGCCTATGAAAGCAGTGTCTGATTCGCTCACTATGGTCGTCGTGGAGAGCACCGCCTCGAATACCTGATGTACGAGTTGCTGATAATGCGCACATCCAAATGTTGTCGGACCATGCTCGGGGCTGTTGCATGGGTTGACAACCAGGGATCCGTCGTCATTGAAGATGTCGTCTTGAAGCTGGCTGAGCCAAAACTCTGCAACACCTTTCATAAGCGGATATCCTTGATTTCGCAGCCACGCCTCGTCGCGCGAGTAATCCCAATGATCGAACACATGCTGCATCATCCATGCGGCAGAAGCTGGGTAATTTGCCCACTCAGCACCACTCTTCATTCCGGTATGACCGAAAATATTCATCTCGTTGTGTACCACCCATCCTGGTGCGCCGTATAGTAGCTCAGCTGTCTCGCTACCGCGCGGAACCCAATTGTCAGTCATGTAATCCCATAATGGTGACTGGAGGTCGGTCAATCCAGTCTGGTCGGCTGTCCAATGGTTCATTTGCAGGTTAATGTTTGCATGGTAGTCTGCTGACCACGCAGCCCAGAGACCTTCGCTCCATCGTCCCTGAAGATTTGGGGGAAGAGAGCCTGGCCGTGAACTGGAGATGAAAAGGTACTGCGCGTAGTCAAAGAGTAGGTTCTCGATGTACGGGTCGCCCGCTGTGTTGTTTGCGTTGTAGCGTGCGATGACTTCTGATGTTGGTGTCTGGGAAGACTTCAAGGGATCTGGAAGAGACAATGTAAAGCGACCTGTGAGAGAAGTGAAGTCGTCGACATGGCGCTTCAGTAACCCAGAAATTGTTTTCGCAGCGGCGTTAGAAGTCGTTGCTTCGACGGCTGGACCTGGGTCTTCGCCGCGGAATGAGTAGTCAGACTCTCGTGTTCCTTTCTTTGCGTCGTAATTTGTTTCAGCGCCTAGCACTATCGTAACGCTATTTGTACTGTTGCCAGATGCAATGGTCAGCAGATTGGTGCTGCTATCGCACCTCGTATTGACATCGCTGCCGGATGCCACTCGCGCAATCGCATCATACCGCATACCTTCAGGCGGACCAAGCTCTGTCACACCCCCCAGTCTCAGATAACCGGACTCCGTGCCGTTGCCACCCACGCAGGTAGCGTTCCGCAGCTCAGGGTCGACCAGCTCATTATCCAATCTTACTTCAACAGCTGGCAGTCCATTCGAAGACCGAACCGTATAGACGCAAACTTGATCCGGAAACGAGCAAAAGGCTTCAGTCTCGATATGGCTACCATTCAAGCTGAACGAGGTGGTATGAATGCCGTTGCTCAAGTCCAGTGTACGCGTATAATTGGCAATATCGGCATCCATCAGCGAAGGAACGGTCACACTCAAGTTACCGAGAACTTGATAGGAACCGTATGCGTCATCTAGACCCAGCAATTCTGTCACGTTCCCCGTTCCATTGGTGAAGATCCACTCCCGAATACCCGGCAGAGACTCAGCAACGGAAGAGTTTGGATTTCCACCGCTATAGTTCTATGCGTCGCATCAGTATATGACTTGAGTATGTACCAGACGTATCCAGACTTACAGATGCTGAAAATGGACCGCCTGACCACAGAGTGTCCAGATTCAGAGTAAGTGTCTCAGTACCTGGTGGGCCAATTGGCATTGCACCAAGACGACCATTTCCGATCGGGTAGGTGGTGCGGATGATGTCGCTGCTATTTGCAGGGGTGGTGGACCATAATGATAACGCTGTCGAAACTGGGATGAATGTGCAAAGGAAAGGTGATAAACGAGGTGTTCGCGACATCTTGAGCACGAGACCTTTTCCTTTGGAGTGCAACGGGATTGACGTTGGAATGCGTGGAGTGGTTGTACTACATGTACGTTTATGAGGGCTGCGACTATGCTGCTATTCTGGGGTTAGCTTGCGGGGAAGTATAGTACCGTATGGCGATCGCTGTAGAGATTCTCCACGAACGGCATTCTGAAACAATTATTCCGGCGCAGTCACCACTGCTTAAGAAGCATTGTAGAGCGATTTTGTTGTGACGGAAGCGGAGTGTTACTTATATTAAGGGTCACGGACGTAAGCACGAACACATCGACTAGAGTATAGATGCGACGTGCATTCGGCTTGTCTATCTTGGCTTCCTATTCGTTTGTTAAGATTCCGTTAGCCAGGAGATTGGATACAGGGGCGTTCCGATGTCCTGGAAGTACTGTTGTTATCGCCTGCCGAAGTACAATCTCGGACATTGACCTCTTGGAGTTGTTGCAGTAGCGAAGCGGTCGTGTGGGACGTATGGACATCAGCCTCATCCGCGCATTTCGTACATCAGGCGTGCATGATTAGTAATCCTAAAGTTGCATCTGTGCAGGTGCTACATGGGATACATCATGTGTCTCTTATGGATTGATAGTTGACAGTGATGGTGCTGCAATTGATACATCGAAGAATGGGAGGGGTGATGATATCTTCGGAGGGGATGTGACCAATCGGCGATTGTATTGACCGATGCCGCGCTAACATTCGCAGACGATCATGTCACGATATCGCAGCTGCCGCAAACACCAATTGCGAGTCAAGACTTCACAATGAGGACGCCATATACCTGCAGACAATGTCTGTCGCTAGTCAAGATACCGAGGTCTCAATTACGGCCGTCGCAAGGCCTTCGCCAGCTTGCGCCCAAGGTGTCATCGCAACGGAATCACTCCACCAAAAGTCCAGCACCGCCAAAGCTCGCCCTGCCCAAGCGTAACCTCTCCACGACGCCGAACCGGGCCTTTGAGAAGCCGTTCGAACCATTCGAATACATTGACCCAGAGGGTCATCGACGGAAGTTGGTCCTGACCGAGGACAACCTTTTCAATTCTTTCTCCGATTCACCTATACCCGAAATACGCAAACGTGCTGCGTTTATGCGCCAGCATGCTTACTGTCCACACCCCTCGCATCAGCCGACACGTCCGGCGAACAACCCCATGGACCTAGAGGCACGCAAGTCATCCGAGACAGGCGCCCCACCCGCCCATGTAGATTTCGAGTGTCCAGACTGTGGTGTACCAGTATACTGCTGTGAAGAGCACTGGGCCGACGACTACGAGGCGCATTTGGAGGTCTGCGACGTTTTGAAACAAATCAACGAAGACGACCATGATCTGAGAAGTGGGCGTTTCTTCAAGGAGTTCCAATTTGCGGAGCCCCAGATGGAGGAGATTCTGGTCAACATGACAAGTTGGGATACATACATGTACACCCGAGACTTTGACGCGCTGAACGAGGACCGAGAGATGCGCCAGGCGACAAAGCTGTTGACATACCCCATCACGATCGCGAGTGTTCTGAACGAATTGAGTCCTTACAACATCCGGAAGAACGGGCGCATGACACCCGAGGGGTTGAAGAGCTTCAGCGGTACGTAGGCTTTGATTGACCAGTTGGGATGATACTGACATTAACAGCCCTCCGTCACACTCTTCACCCACCACGAACAGGTGGTGGAGACACCTGGAAAAACGCCCGCCTTGCTCCGCCATCCGTCCGCCTCTTCATTCTCGGCGCACGCGCAGAATCCTCCCTACCCCGCGAAACATGGATGCAACTTTCCTACCTCTTCCACCGCGTACAATTCTCCCTCAACTTCATCGGCCCTGAGAGTATGGCAAACCGCGAGAAGGAACTACCGCTGCCCGAACGCACTCCTCTCAATCCCTTCGGTGCTGTTGTCGAGGACCGCATCAGCAACTCCTTGAAGATCAGCACCTTCGTCGAGTACTACCACAACATCCACAAGACGGGCTACTTTTACCCGTACGACCCGTACTTTGACTGCTTCGTCGTCTTCCATCCCGGTTTCGGCAACCCAGCCTCCGCGCACGAATGGGAGGAGACGCTACCCCTTCTCCTCGAGACCAAGGTTCCTATCATCGCAACCGGATACAGCCCATGGGACATGCAGCAGGATGTCGACTTCTTGAACAAGAGGTTTGGCAATGAGATGGACATGTTGCTTGAGCCGGGCGAGAACCTGTTCAGGAGTCTGAGGTGGGATCTGAATGACCTAGACCCACACGACGTTACCTGCAGCAACTGGGGTGTGTACGCTTTCCGTGGTAAGCGATACGAGACCACCAAGAAGGACGAGGATGAGGAGGTGCACAGCGATCGCACAGCATGATTGCGCGCCATGTTCGTATGTAGATATATGTACAGTATTGTATATCAGACTTCCACTGTGCAAGGACGACTGCTCAATGTCCTATCTACCACACACACCAAATTGCTGAAGTCCACAAGTATAAGATGAACAAGATGTTAAGTTGGGAAAAATGCACTTCATCGCTGACATGATCGAAGGGTGCGAGACGAGTATCATTATAGGAAGCAGAAGTCCGATCGATCTGCGGAAGGAGCACGGAAAAAAGAACTTTAGCAGCTACGACATTGTCATGGACACCGTTTCCATTCGCCGACGGCTGAACGCAAGATGCATCTTATTGCTTCGTTTTCATCTCCATGAATTTACAACGCCTCTAAGTACTCCTCCATGGTAGGTTTACAGTTTAATCTGTCCAACGCTGCGTTCTGTTCAGGACTCCACGGAGCTAGAGCCCTATCTTTGCCATGAGGTTGATAGTCCGGCGCGTGAGTCGATGCAACGCGTTTCTTTATTTCGCCAAGCACGAGGTCATGCCATTGCTGGGACCGCCCCACCATCAGTCTGTTACGTATCTGGGGGAGGCATCGGACATTGCCTTCGCAGTATGCAATGATTGGTGTTGGGATCGGTCGCTCGTCGAATACCTTGTGGTCGGCTTCGAACAGTCTCTCTCCCGTATTCTTGGCCTTTAACCAATCTAATCGGTGTTGGGAGAACCCACACGAAAAGGTCGTCTCGAAACATCTCTTCAGTCGGTTGAGGTATCTTCTCGATTCAGTAGTCTCTCGTGTGGCACTCTCCATGAGTTGTACGTCCTCGACACCTTGCAGGGCGATACCATAGTGAGAAAACAATGCGTCGGAGTCGTTGCGAACGTCGAAGAAGACCTTGGGGATCTCTTCATCCTGGAATACGTCATTTAGAGTGGTTTTCCCTACACCTGCCGTGTTGAGTGCTTCTTCGCCCAGTGTGTGAACGTCGATAAGGTAGGCCTGCTTCGGTGAGGTCTCTAGGTCGATGAGAAGGGTCAAGATAGAGACTGAGCCTTCAAGACACAAGTTCGAACCTTCAAGGTCGATGTAAATGACTGGCTCAGAGAGTGCTTTCTTCCGTCTGAGTGTATAGATGGAGACAAGCTTGTCAGCCAGCTCGGCGACAGACTGGGACGTATTGACGACTCTCGTTCCTGTCATCTGCATGGATTTTAAGATCGCTTCCGACGCGGCTGATGCAAATATCTTTGTAAGAGTTCGATTCTGGACGTTTGCTCATGAATCTGGCGGGTGAGGTTCACTTCGATAGACCTCGAAGCCCAGGTGTGTTATCACTGTTGTGTAACCACACCTGTTGTACCGCACTCGGCCAACGAAGGAATGCGCCATGCAGATCCATAGCCTGATAACAGGATAGCATGCAGAATTTATGATAGCACGTCTTTTATTCACCTATCCCGGTAGACTCCAATGCGAAAGTAGCAAATAAGATGAGCTGAAATCACGTGGTATCGTGACCGTAATCTCAGCCGTTTGGTTTGCATTGAGGTAGACTAGCTCGCTATTAAGGAACCTCTCGTGTTATATAACAAGGGTTAGTTTTAGCTTGGCCTTTCACAAAGGGAGATGCTAAGAATTCTGCCTGCCGCGAGTGTTACGTCGCTTCAAGCCCATCAAAGTGATCGAATATTGAAAACAAGAATTCTTATTTACTAGGCCCTACTGACGCTCCATAAACCCCGTTACATATCTCCAACCGTAATTACTAAATGGCAAAGAGAAGTAGACTTGTCCATATCGCTTAGCAGCCTTGACGGCCAAGAGCTCGGAAAACATCGATACAGGCAGCACCAGTGTACAAGTTGTCGGCCTGACCCTCCGGGCAGGAGCAAGAGGGGTCGATGAAAGCAGGGGTACCAGAGCCGTCTGCATGAGAGTCGCCGCAGATGTTGGCGCAACGGCCCTTCTGGTACTCGCAAGAGATGGCACCTCCAGCGCAGATTCGCTTGCCGTTAGGTCCAGTCTTTTGAGCCGCAGCGCCGAGGGCGAGGATAGCGACAGAGAGGATGGTGGTGAGCTGCATGTTGGCGTTGGGAAGTTGTTTGGCTTTGGCGGGGAAGAGTTGTAGAGTTGCTATAAACAACGATTAGCAGGATACTTCGAGACATGAAGTTAATCATTCGTACGGTTTTGATCCTAGGGAAGGGTGACTAAGTGATTGAATCGATGATTTGATGACTGAGTGCGGTGGATAATCAAAATGGTGAGAGGGAACTGAAGGCATTTATACTTCTCCGTGAGACACAACTCCCATCACTACCTTGATACTGACAGTATGGCTATGCTCCAAAGGACCGGATGACGATACCGCCAAACCAAAGACCCCAAGCTGTCGTTGTACAGAAGGTCCGGATCTCGGTGTGATTCGTATTCCAATCTCTTGGTGGTTTGGCAGGTGCTAACGTACTCTGCGGCTTCGCCGTGTGCCAATCCAAGTTGACGTTGGAACAGAGCTGCGCATTCGGCACCCATTGCCGATCGGTCGTGTATCGTACGCAGTCGCGGCCTCACCGTAAACCGGCCTTACTCTATAGGGGTCTTAAAGGAACGCACGGTACCTACATCATACCTTGTAGAGCGAGCCAAGATAAGACCTCCACTGTAGGGTCGCGTTAATACTAGGAATTCATTACTAGGTCTAGGGGACTGAACTAGGCGCTCTAGAGTCAGGAGAAGACACCGACTAGACACTTGAAGGACCACGTGCAAGAACCATATGCTGTGGTCATCTTCGGAATTCGCAAGATTGAACAGAGATTTTCGACGCAATGTACCTAAAAATTCGAGCAACCTGTATTGCACGGCGACTGCGATGGCTATTTCGCGCGGAAGGCAGGGATTGCCACGACAGTCGCATCCTGCGCCAAACCGAGTAGAATGAAGCATGAGGCTGAGGACGTCTCCATACTGGAAAGCCGGTGTGAGATTCGAAGCTCTAGGTGACCCTGGGATTATTCGCTAGTACTGGTATCCGTGCTGTGATTGTACCTGGTACCTTGGCAACGGCCCTGACATGCTCTAGTTGCCTGGCATCATAGTGCTCTCTTTCTCCCTCATAATCAACGCCTATATCGATCTATCTCCTCTGGCCCAATTGAGATTCATCTAATGTGTTGAAACATGCCGCAGCCGATGAGCTATGCTGCTCACATTGATAAGCGACATCAAGCAAGACGGTGAACAGACACGGGGATAGCCTAGCAACATTGAATACGTCACCAGACAATCAAGCACTACAATCGGCAGAGCTTCCTTCTGAATCTGGATATTCCTTACCGCATCGGTCAGTATCGACTGTCTGACAAGACAAATAAGCTGGCAATATGGAGCGCGCCCTGTCTTCTACATCGTGGTAGAGCAAGCGTGCTGCTTAGCCGTCAGCACTTAGCTTTTGTTGTATTGCGACACGAGACATGCGCGGTCCGCATTGGTCACTAAACCAGATGCGGATGCCCAGCACGCACGGGTGAGCGCTCAGATTCTCCCGACAAGGCCAGCGAGGGATTTCGAATTCAGTCGACTCAACGCTCCAAAATTCAGCTTTTGCGATCGACAAGGCTGCAGCCCTCCATGCCAACTGTTGTACGACCAAATTACCGTAAGACTTTGCTAGTTCCACCGAGCGCGAAACACTGTGCAGGGATGCGCAACGGCAACGCCCGCTTCACTCCAACGCCCCATACTGCATTCGTACGTGCAACAAACGTGTTCGAGTAATGGATATCCCGACAACATAGAGTTTGTACGAGGCTAGATTTGTACGGCCACATACAATAGCTATCCACAAGAAGCTCGGTGAAGTGCGCTCTTTGTCCTCCGTCAGGCAACGAGTCTGTTTAGATGACAGTGATCATCCGCTCTCCAGCAACGCGACGCGCCTCGAGTATCCTATCGAAGGCACGAGAGCGGTTGAAGTGACTAGGTTTTGTTCTATTAAAGGCTATCTTGTCATGGGTGTGAAGAGACAGAGCTTCCGCGCCGTTGGATTCTCATTGTTCTCTTCTCGGAAGCTTCATCAACTCCCTCACTATCGCTTTCGCTGTCCCCGCTTGTTGACTGCGCTTCCACGAAGCACATTGTATCCAAGTTCGTGATCTAGCTGCTGCATAACCATCACACAGCTGTGCCGTGAAATCGCATTCTCTGTGTCAATTTCATCCGTGTTAATCCCAATGTCTGGATGCTTGAAGTATTGTGGCATGTTACAATTGTTTCCATTCCTATTAGACATTTCGAGTGTCCTTTGCTGCTCACATGACCAGGCTTGCGATACCAAGCCTCACAGTTACTTACGAAGATCTGAATTTGATCGTTGATGAGGTATGCTGGCTTTGCTTGGACGAGCGCGATCACCGTATCCCCAGCTATGCGGTGCCGGAGACCTGGCTTTGCATTAGTAACGGCCCTTGGTTCTCCATATCATATCAGTACACGTAGTGAGCGCAGCCGAGCAAAGGTCTTAACAAGATAGAGGCTCTGAGGAGAGAAAGGTCTTGAAGGCTCGCATAACGACTGGGTGGCAGGTATTACGAAATGATTTAGGTCTGCAGTAATCGTTTCCCCTTCCTTATGGGATACGCAAATACTCAGACCAGCGTGATCACTCTCTCTTCTGCGATGTAATGCGCTTCGAGGATCCGACCAACTGCATTGGAACCTCCAAACTGAATGAGTCCTGCTCTCTCGAACGTAATATTATCCCTTGTTTGGAGAAAGAGTGCTTCTGCACTGTCTGATTCCACCCATGATATTTTTGGGTTTTCGATAGCCTCGACGGATTCTTTGCCATCGGCCTTTTCTTCCTTGCCATTTATCTCTCCTCCCTGGTTCTCAGAGGCTCCGGTCTTGCGATCTGCTTTGGAATGCTGGCCGTGAACGCATTGTTGTAAAACAACGATGTATCCGTATTGTGGATCTGGTTGTCCTGTACCTAGGTAGGTATCTTGTCTATCCAAGTGGAATTCCATGTCTGGGCCAGAGAATTCTTGCAGTACACCTGGGTGCTCCTCACGACTATCCACTAATCTCAATGTACCAAAACAGCGAGTGTCGTCGCGAAGCGGAATCTCATGGCCGGCCCAAGCCGTGAAAGTGGCTTGCAACGGCCTAGATCTGATTGACATTGACGCACGCTCCAATCCGCCAGAGGTTTTAGCCTCCACCTTGATCTCAACAAGTTCAGCCTCAGCATGTCGCGTTTCATGATTCATATGAAACTTGGTCAACAAGCTTCGGTTTATGCCATCGTCTTGACAAGCCCAACTCCACGTGGGCGCTCTCCATATTTTCGTTTGAGAGACTAGATTCTCTCGATGCCAGTATAGCTGTTCTTCTCGACGCCTGCTTTTCTCTTTTATTCGACGCCAGCATAGCTCTTCAATTATGTGACCAAGCCACAGACCAGCAACAAGCTCATCCCCTGTCGCTCGGGATATCCATCTCGCGATGCCATTGATAGCTACAAGCTTATCGGCGGGGTGAGTAAGCACGCAACTTGCATACTGGTCTCGAAACGTAAGCCACTCAAAATAGGTAGCTTTGTCCAGAGCTTTAGCGGAAAGCCAAGGGTTTGAACTGTCGGATAGGTCATCTTTGTTTTGATGCATGATTTTGCAGACTCGGTTCTTCAGTGAAGTAGCGTCCCAACGCCAGAATGCTTGCGCCCAAGGTGGAAGATTGTCGGGGTAAGTTTCACACGCCATGCATTCCTGGCACTCCCAGAAGAGTTGCGTACTCGTGAAGTGCAAAATTCGTCGCGAAAGCTGTCGCTCCTGACATACCCAAGCTCTTTTACTCAGCGGCGCGCGCTCGACGCAAGATTGGGCCAAGTAGTGAACATCGCACAAATAGTTCCCTACTAGCGGAAACCCTGATACCTTCTCTTTCAGCCAGTCCGCTTTCTCGTCGAAGTTGAATTCCAAAACTCGTGGTACGTGTAACTGCGGAATCCTTTCGAAAAACAGGCCTTCACTGCTGTTTCTCGCCGCAGTTGCTGCGATAGTACAAGCTGCATTTGCATATACATCTCCCATTCTACTAGACTCATATGCCCAGTCATCTTTGTCATCCTGGAGAATGCACCTGTGAAAGTAAGCTCAATCATACATATCTAAAACAAGGGCTGCATACAATGAATCAATCCAAATATATTGGATCTCAAGGCTTCGGGCGACCGTTATGGAGTCTTGAAATGTCTTTGGTAGAGCTTCAAGATGAACCCCTGCAACGAGTGTACAGTACGTCGTTTTGTTGAGTGCCAGCGGTCTCGTGTCTCCCCAACAGTGAGATAGACATACATAATCTTGGTTGGGTAACAGTTCAGTATTACAAAGCACAACTAAGCTGTGCTGAGCAAGCCCAATGTTTAAAAGTCTTGAAGGATAGATGCTGTGAGATGAGGACTTTCGAGGATTGCATTGCACGTGTGATTGGCGGCAGTGCCGGTATTTCTTGAGAAGGAACTCCCAGGTAGACTCTGATCGGCTATTTAATGACAGGTCTTTCGACACCGTCAGTTCGTTTGTGTCAGTGATAAAGTTAGTGTCTATATGTTTTATCTCGTAACAAACTCACTAGTCCAAGGTATGAGAACGATGTCGTTGCCTTCGAATAAAACCGTATCATGGTGATTTGATTGAAACCTTAGGATTCTTTCGCCGTCTTCTGTCAGAAGATAGAACCCGTTCAGCGCTGACCATGTTTGCGAAGAAGGGGAGGCTTGGGTATTGTTCCACGCTAGGCTACAGATCGAACAGGGTAGGCGCATTGCCGTCGCGAAGGATTCGAAAGTGTCGTGATGGTTGAATTCTACACTCCATCGACTTTCTTTGATCAACGAGATATGTCCGGCGAGTAGCCGACGACAAGGTTCACAATACAGCTTTCCTGACATAGCAGTCACTTAGAGGAACACCTTCAGATAGCGAGTAATAGAAGATGAACTTTTCAGTCGAATGTGGATATGGACAAGTACAACTACAAGTTGACATTATTGCACAGCAAGTTGTCTGAATAGCCCCGCATGACATCATGGAACTTGGACATTGAGTAAGCTCGGCTTGTGATGCTTTGCATGTGTCGTGCCACCATGCCGCGTTGCGCGTCCCTCTATTGGCTAACCTGTTGCCCACTTGCAAAAACGACACCTTCACAAGCGGCCAACGATACCATGCATTTCAGTTTCTCGCGTTGGCCATAAGTCAGCAGAATGGCAGCAGCACAATAGAAGCTGTGAGCAATGAAGACGTGCGAAACTGTTCCTAATCTTGGCGGGTCCCCTAGCTACTCTTATATCGAGCCTAGAACCCGGCTGCGTTTAGTCTTCCAATCATGCGATTCAACTCCGATGGCTTCCTCAGGGACGATATCAAGCTGTTCGCGGCTAACAGACTTTTCGGTGATTTCCTAAGAATTGTATGCCTCGCCGTACTTATCATTGCAAACAGCAGACTCAACTCTAGTATCTTCTTACTTCCCATCTCCTCTCGACCGTGATGGCGTAATTCGAGTTGGCTGGTACCTGTTTGTGATGACCGCATACCGATGAGACACGAACTATTTGCGAAGTCTTGATAGGCTGTAGCTCGATTTGTGAAGAAGCATCGTTGTCGTCCATCAGTTCTGAGAACGTGGCAGTCGGGTCAAGATCAGGTGCCCTGCCTCCTTTCTTGGAGAAAATACTGGTATGCGTGCTACTTCCGTAAGAAAAGCTGGGGTTGGCGGCGTTCCTTGTTTTGCTGAACAAAGGACGCATGAGCGGAATACACGCCAGAACGATTGCGACAGCAGGCTCGAGCCCAGAAAGTGTTGTGGCGAGCACGCCTTCGTACGTCATATCCGTGAAGTCTAGATTGGGTAGTAATGTTTGTCGGTATATGGTGATGGCCCAGGTTCTGCCTCAGATGTCAGCATCCCGAGATCAACAAGGGAAGATTGAATCCTCGGCAATGTGTACTCACCCAACTCCAATGCTGAGCAAAGCCATCACGGCTAGCTTCCTGCGCCAGGCTATTCGTAATTTGTACAGATATGGCATGGGCAATGCGATGATCACAGCATCTGTGATGAGATTGACGATCCCCATTGAGAAGTAAAAAGACGGTTGACTTCCGCAAGTCCCCGGCAATGCGAAGTTCCAGTTTTTTGAGAGCGGTCGGCATATCAGGAAAGCAGCGAGTATGTTGGCGATGTTCCACGCTACAACCAGAGCGCCGAGAATACGGGCCCACTGCAACATAGATGACATTGGTATAAGTGCAGCATACATTGATAAAATCGATAGTTTGCTGAAACACACAGTGGCATTCCACAGTATCGAAAAGGACATTATCCCCTACAATGGAAAAAAAGTTAGAAATGTGAATACTGGAGGGGCTTGTTCTTGGTCTCACCTTGAAGAAGAACGTTGCCGTCTCAGGTCCAAAACGTTGGTAGATCTCTGTTGTGTGGAACCCAAAACCGCCATATATGACTAGTGAGATGCAGCACGCGTGCATTGCAGTATTCCATAGCTGGTAGATGTTTTCAGAAACAGAACGGCCGTCTTTTACATTATTCGACTTACTGCGGCGGCGAGAATACAATAGTCACTATAATCAATCCTGTTTCCGATCTTTTTGGCGACGATCCGCAGACCCACAGCGACTATGACTATTAGGATGGAGATTGAAGAAGTCACCAGAACGCCGACTTGTTGTCCATTATCGATGGGTATCGTTTCTGTTGTCATGGAATGAATCTGCTTCCCGAGTCCGCTGCATGAATATGCCCAAGGGGTGAAAGGGCTCGAACAGGTGGACCTAGCCTCCTATATGTACGCAATGAGCATGAACGACAGCTACAAGGTTGCTTCCCCGGCATGCACGTAAAGCTTTGACCTCGCCACATCCTAAAAGAGGTAACCCTTGTTATGACCTAGAACACTGAGAGGCGGCTCGTGAACCCGTCAGATTGGATTGGAAAAGAGCAGCGGTATGTGGTACTCCTTCGGAGCAAAAATGCCAGTGGAAGCGCCATCTCAGACTACATCATTGCAATTGATAGTATCGCGGTGATTCTGCTCTTGTTGTATCCATGATCCGAAGGCGCAACCTGTGGCATTCGGTCGTCAGCGCATCCACAAGTCGAGCCTACAGACCTCTTGCATGACCAACGACGTATTGCAATACACCTGTAGAATTCATAGTCAGTCTGTCGCTATCGCTGCAGGACTAGGTATTCTTTCGACCATCAAGCAGGATTCCTTCGCCACGAGAGGCGCGGCAAGAAAAGCGTCCCGTCTGACAGGCAATATCTGTAGCGCAGGAACACTTTCCCTGTACATATGTATCACAATCCTTCGCGCTGAATCCTACTGTCGGCACTGCGAAGTCACATCTGAGCACACGTAGCGTGGCCCCACCCGCCTTTCGGCAAGCTGGTTGTGGACCACGCCGTAATGCCAAGGTGGCGCGGTTGCGGACGATCCACGTCGTTGGAATCGCCCATCTTTGCTGCATGCCATCGTTTCCACGACAGTTCAATAAATGAATGTCGGCACTGGAATCTTCCATGGCGAGAGGGATTCAAGGCTGCATCGTGAGGCATCAACTTGCAGAAACTTTGGCAAGTGCTTCTAAACTAATTCTTGCGAGCGTTCATGCCAAACACCTGGTACGGCAACGAAGAAGCGCTAGTCGCGCTAATAGCTGCAAGTTCGTGTAACGGCTCGGGAAAAAGGCGAAATTAAGCAACTACTCCTCTCTCGAACATCGAGTTAGCTTCTTGGGATGCAATGTGGGAAGCGTCATGCCCCAGTGCTGGACAGAGACGAGCGTCTTCGTTCAGACAATTGGCGAGTAATGCGGCTAGATACAACCGTCCCGCTCTTTCAAATATGATCGATCTCCCCTCAGAAATGCACCACGGCTATCTCTCGAATACTGAGACTTGACGACATGGGCTCCATTTCGCAGAACGAGCGAGAAGTCGCGATCATTACCGGTGCCACGGTCAGTCACGTCACATGAATGTAAAAAATGAAATCGTTAACAGAACCCGATAGAGTGGCATCGGTTCCTGGCTAGCAGCTCATCTGCATGCGAAAGGGTACTGCGTCGCAATTTGTGGTCGACGAGAGAGTGAAGGACACAACGTCGCCTCATCGATTGACCCAAAAGAAGAGACAGCCATCTTCGTTCAATGCGACGTAGGCTCCTACGCTTCGCAAGTCAACCTCTTCAAGACTGTCTGGGAGAAGTGGGGTCGTCTTGACGTTCTGATCGCAAACGCTGGCTTTGTCGATCGCGGTTCCGTTTTCAACTTCAAATACCGTGATGCAGCCATCAACAGCCTACCTCCAGAACCGGATACCAGCTGCACCGACGTGGTGGTGAAAGGAAGAATATATGGCACAACACTGGCGACGCACTACATGCGCAACAACCCAGGACGGAAGGGCGGTAAGATTATCACTACAGGTAGCATGCTAGGTGTATACGCATGCCAGACTTTCCCGGAGTATTGCGCGGCCGAGGCAGCGTCGGCCATGTGGGCGAAGACGACTGGACCCGTTCTGCTGGCCAAGGATAACATCTCCGTCAACTCTGTGATGCTGGGCCCAATCGAGACTGAAGCTATGCCTGGATTTAGCAAAGCTTTCCATCCTGAACAATTGATGATGAAGTCGACACTCTTCGCTGGCTATGACCGCTTCCTTGACGACAAGGAGAATCTCAGGACAGGTGAAACCATCGAGGTGGCGCACGACAAACTTGTAGACTGGGGTCATCCAGGCTACAAGAGCGGAGCATTTTCGAAGCGCTCAGAGGCCGTATTCGAGCCATGGTTCAATCTGGTGCATGGGGAAGAGAGCGGATTGGCTGGTACGCTCAAGGATTGGCCTGACCATAGTAAGAAGATCATCGCTGTCACAGGTGCGACAGGAAGCCAAGGCGGTGGAGTTGTCAATATTATGAAGAAGACCCCTGGATGGAAGGTCAGAGCAATTACCAGGATTCCAGACAGTGATGCGGCGAGAAAGCTTACAGCTGAGGGGATCGAGGTTGTGAAGGCTGATTTTGAGGATGAGGCGTCCCTGCGAGTTGCCTTTGAAGGTGCGCATGCCGTATTTGCTGTCACGAACTGGTGGGAATCGCTCTTCCAGGGTAAAAGCCAGCACGAGTCTGGTGAGATCGAAGAGCGACATGGCATGAATCTTGCTCGAGCTGCTGCCGCCACTCGTACTGTAGACCACTACATCTGGTCAACAACTCCAAGTGCCAAGCGCCGGTTCTGGGGCAAGCTAGAAGCACCCCATATGGACTATAAGGCGAATGTCGACAGGCGCATCAAAGCGGAGTTACCTCAGCTTGCTGCTATCACTACTTACTTGTACTTCGGGTACTACCCCCAAAACATGGCCTTCTTCCCATTGTGCAAGCCAATCGAATACGTATGTCAAATTTAGCCCTCGTTGTACGACGCATCCTACTAACATAGCACATAGCCCGGCACCGGCCAGTACATTCAGACTCTGCCTACCAAAGCCAACGCTAAAGTGCTCGTGGCCGGCGACATGACTGTCAATCCCGGTATCTGGGTTCGTCAAGCCCTTGCCACTGGCGATAAGGCTTACCGTAGATACGCCAACGTCGCGCTAGAGAAGTTGACATTCCAAGAGATGGTCGATGCATGGTCGGAAGTAACTGGCAAGAGCTGTGTGTTTGCTGAAGTTAGCATGGAGACAGTGACGAAGCTGTACGGCGATATGGGCAATGAACTAGCGAAGCAATTCAAGTATGGAGAGGCGTGCGACCCGTGGGAGGTCACCGAAGATTTCATCAGTCCAGAAGAGCTGGGTATCGATCCTGGGGAAGTTGTCGGGTTCAAAGGGACAATCGAAGGACTTAGGGCTGCCGGGTTTTGGGCTTGATTCGAGTATGTCAGTCGGACATTTGCGCTTGTTCAGTCTCGTACTAGAGATCATCTGCATTTAAATTCTGCTGCTATCGAACAACGCTGCGAGGAGAAGAAACAGTGGATGCGACAGATGTTGAGACCGTTCTTTCAGGTGTAGAGGGGCTGCCGCGTATGGGCCGTGGCCAATCTAGTCATAGCGTCAGCATGATAGCAGACTGCATGAGAAGATGCAATAAACAGTATCGCAAGTAGTAGGGCGAGATGGGTCGCTCATTATGTGATACCCTACATCCATCGTGGGACTTCAAGAGTGGGATTGCAAACCCTGGGTGCAGATATGTAAAGAGCAGTGTCACAGACTTCGTCTTTCCATGAAGTCGTTGATTGAGAAATCTAGAGACGGTAGAAGCCATCCCATGATCTCGGCAGCATTTCCTATGACTTCGATGAGACAATTGGTGCCTGTACAGTCGAGGGGGTGAAGACTTGTTGTCGTGTACGGAAAACCCTTCCTGCGTGCGGGCCCCCGTTCGCGAGCCGCAGCGCCTATCAGTGACCTTTCAGTGCACGTATCGAAAGGCTTGTAAAAGATACGAGAATCGGCGCGACATCGTATTGTCAGTCCCGAACATGAAGACAGATGATGGTGTTAGTGTTGGTACAGATGCAGCGGCGGCGGCCGCCCCTGTCGAGACTGGCCGAAGTGCCGACCCCGCATGCAAGCACGCAAGACCTCACTGGAATGGCAAGTTTCGTACAACCGTACCAATAAAGACGCTTGCGACCCCTGGCACTCCTGAGTATACAACGACCCATTCACCTCACCCTGATCATGGCTGAATCACCTCCTATGGGTAATGCCCTCGATGCGATCGGCAACACCCCATGCGTACAATTGCAACGAGTTGTACCAGATGGATACGCGCGGGTCTTTGTAAAGCTTGAATCACTGAATCCGACGGGCTCCTACAAAGACCGTATGGCAAGATCCTTGATTGAAGAAGCAGAGCGGAGAGGTGATTTGCGACCCGGTATGACCATTGTAGAAGCTACTGGAGGCAGTACCGGCTCCTCACTCGCTTTTGTTTGTGCTGTCAAGGGCTACAAATTCCACGTTGTATCGTCCAACGCCTACGCAGTCGACAAGCTACGAGCGATGGCAGCGTTCGGTGCTGAAGTGGATCTGGTCAACAGCCCTTCTGGTCGCATCACAGCAGACTTGATTCCATCGATGATAGAACGTGCAAGGACGATTGCTCAGGACGACACTTACTATCCCACCGACCAGTTCAACAACGCTGACGCTTACGTTGGCTACAAAGCACTCGGGCTGGAGCTGGTTAATCAATTTCCGAACGGCATTGACGGGTTCTGCGCAGCCGTCGGTACAGCTGGTATGATCATGGGCGTATCGAAAATCTTGAAGGAACGGTGGCCAAAAACTCATGTTCGAATTCTTGAGCCAGCATCTGCGCCCACTATTACCGAGGGGCGGAGTGGTGTGCATGGCGTTGAGGGCATAGGAATTGGATATATGCCGCCTCTTCTCGAGAAGGACCTCTATGACGACGCACGCGCAGTCCCGGAGGATGAAGGTCGTGCAATGTGTCGACGTCTTGCGAAGGAGGAAGGACTCCTTGTCGGTACATCCACCGGTCTCAACGTGACAGCTGCCATTGCACTGGCAAAGCAACTGGGACCCGACAAGACGGTAGTAACGGTCGCGTGCGATACGGGACTTAAGTACATGCATAGAGATCTGTACGAGTAATGCAGTCTCTTTGCCAAAAATGCGATACCCGATGCTGCCATCTGACGGTGTGCCAAGGG